GACGTTTTTTTGTTGTTTTTCCCCTCCATTATTTTTTCGCCTGTTTTTCTTCACATTTTTTTTGTACTTTTTTCCTTCAATTATATCGTTTTTATGTCGCTTTGGACGCTTTTTTTTAATCATTTTTTGCATGATTTTTTTCGCCTTTTTTTCCTTCACTTCTTTTTGGCGTTTTTTGTCGTTGTTTTCTGTTGCTTTATTCGCATCTTTTTGGTCCTTTTTTTCCTTTTGTATCTCTAGTTTTATAACATTTTCAAATTTAGTTTATGACGTCTTTCTGTTGCTTATTTTTCGGTTGGTTTTTTGTTTTTTTGGTCATTTTTTATCTCTATTTCTTCTTACTTTTTTTTAATCATTTTTTGGCCCGCTTTTTTGTCTCTTTTCTGTTACCATTTTTGTTGCTTTTTGGGTCAATTTTTTAATATTCTCTTGTCGCATCTTTGGTCTTTTTTATCTTAATTTTTGGTGAGGTATTTTTAATTTCTTTTTTGTTTTTTCGTATTTTTTTCGGTCTTTCTTTACCATCTTTTCGCATTTTTTTCTTCGCTTTTGCCGCTTTTTCTGTTGGCTTTTTTGCCGTTTTTTTAACCACCTATTTTCATGGCTTTTGTTCCTATCCTTTTTTATGATGTTTTTCTCATCACCTTTTGTCACTTTTTTTGCATTTTTTTTTGTCATTTTAGTTCGTTCTGGACTTTTTTTGGCGTTTTTAGGTTCCTTTTTTTGGTGCCATTTTTTTATCTGTATTTTTTTTTCTTCGATTTTTGTTTCTCACGTGTTTTGTCCCCGTGTGTTTTGTAGCTTTTTCTGTAATCTTTTTCTATTCTTTTCTTCTCTTCTTTTTTTTGTTCTTTTTTGTCTCTATTTTTTGTAGCTCGTTTTTGACGCCATTTCCCGGCCTTTTTCAACTTTCTTCTTCACTATTTTTGTCGCTTTTTCTGCCACATTTCTTTTTGTCGCGTTTTTGACGTTTTTTGTGTTTTTTTTCTTTCATAATTTTTCGCTTTTTTCACACTTTTTTGTTGCTTTTTTAATTGTTGTTTGTTGTCATTTTTTTTATCATCTTTATCGCTTTTCGTTCGCCTTTTTTCCCCTTTTTGTCTTGATTGCTTGTGGCTAATTTTTATTACTCATTTCCCATTTTTTTTTACTTTTTTCCCGGTTTTTCTTCACAGTATTTTCTGGCCTTTTTTTGTCACCTTTTTATTCGTACTTTTTTGTGGCTTTTTTGTCACACTTTCTATCGTTTTTTCAGTTGCCTTTTTTTCCTCGTTTTTTGTTTTTTTCCCTCCTTCTTTTTTTTTCCTTTTTGTCTGGAGTTTTACCGTTTTATGTAGTTTTTGGCGTTTTTTTTTGTTGTTTTTTCTCCCCTCCATTATTTTTTCGCCTTTTGTTCTTCAAACTTTTTTTGTACTTTGTGCTTTTAATTTTTTTATTGTTGCCATTTTCTGCCTCTAGTTTTGTCGCCTTGGACGCTTTTTTAAAATCATTTTGCCTTTTTTTTTCTTCACTTTTTTGCGTTTTTTGTCACTTTTTCTGTTGCCTTTTTTTTAGTTTTTAACGCCTTTCTGTCGCTTATTTTTCGGTTGTTTTTTGTGTTTGTTTTTGTCATTTTTTATATCTATTTCTTCTTGCTTTTTTAATAATTTTTTGGACCGATTTTTTGTCTCTTTTCTGTTACCATTTTTGTTGCTTTTTGGGGCACTTTTTTCGAATTTTCTTGTCGCATCTTTGGTCTTTTTCATTTTATTTTTGGGAGGTATTTTTTATTTCTTTTTTGTTTTCTCGTATTTTTGTGGACTTTTTTATCATATTTTTCGTTTTTTTTTCTCCGCTTTTGTCGCTTTTTCTATTGGCTTTTATAATCACCTATTTTTGTTTTTTTTTTGCATTTTCTTGTGACTTTTTTCTTATCCTTTTTTTTTCTTAACAATTTTTTATGATCTTCACCGTTTCTCGGCTTTTTTCCGCATTTTCTTCTCATTTCATTGTGATCTTTTTCTCATTACCTTTTAGTCTCATTTTTTCATTTTTTATTTCCTTTGTCACGTTTGTGTCCTTTTTTATCCACGTTTTTGTCGTATTTTTTTGCCACTTTTCTTTTAATAGTTTTTTCCTGCCGGTTTTTTCTTCATATTTTTTGTCGTTCTTTTTGTCGTATTTTCTTATCGTTTTTGCGCCATTTTTTTGGCCCCATTTTTTGTGACCAATTTCCCGCATTTTTTTTTCTTGATTTTTTTTTGTCTCTCTTTGTTGCGTTTTTGTCACTTTTTTCGTTTATTTTTCCGTATCTCTTTTTTCGTGCGGAGATTTATTTTCGTCTCTTTTGATGCTTTTTTTTGTCGTTTTTTTTTCTCATTTTCTTATCACTTTTTTGTGTTCTTTATAACTTTTTTTATTTTTTTTTTATTTTTCCGCCTTTTTTTCCTTCGCATTATTTTGTGGCCTTTTTTTTGTCACCTTTTTATTCGTATTTTTTTGTGGCTTTCTTGTCACACTTTTTATCGTTTTTTCAGTTGGCTTTTTTTTCCTCGTTTTTTGTTTTTTTCCCTTTTTCTTATTGTTTTTTTTCTTTTTGTCTGGAGTTTTACCGTTTTTATGCAGTTTTTGGCGTTTTTTTGTTGTCTTTCTCCCCTCCATTATTTTTTCGCCCTTTTCTCTTCACACTTTTTTGTACTTTGTGCTTTTAATTTTTTTATTGTTTCCATTTTCTGCCTCTAGTTTTGTCGCTTTGGACGCTTTTTTAATCATTTTTCGGTTGTTTGTGTGTTTGTTTTAGTAATTTTTTTATCTCTATTTCTTCTTGCTTCTTTCATCATTTTTTGGTCCGATTTTTTGTCTCTTTTCTGTTACCATTTTTGTTGCTTTTTGAGGCACTTTTTCAAATTTTCTTGTTGCATCTTTGGTCTTTTTTATCATATTTTTCGTTTTTTTTTTCTCCGCTTTTGTCGCTTTTCCTGTTGGCCTTTTTAATCACCTATTTTTGTTTTTTTTTTGCATTTTCTTGTGACTTTTTTCTTATCCTTTTTTTTCTTAACAATTTTTTTATGATCTTCACCATTTTTTAACGTTTCTCGGCTTTTTTCCGCATTTTCTTTTCATTTCATTGTGATCTTTTTCTCATTACCTTTTAGTCTTATTTTCTTCATTTTTTATTTTCTTCGTCGCGTTTGTGTCCTTTTTTATCCACGTTTTTGTCGTATTTTTTCCGCCACTTTTCTTTTAATAGTTTTTTCCTGCTGGTTTTTTCTTCATATTTTTGTCGTTCTTTTTGTCGCATTTTCTTATCGTTTTTGTCACCATTTTTTTGGCCCCATTTTTTGTGACCAATCCCGCATTTTTTTTTTCTTTGTTTTCTTGACTTTTTTGTCTCTCTTTATTGCGTTTTTGTCTCTTTTTCGTTTATTTTTCTGTATCTCTTTTTTCGTGCGGAGATTTATTTTCGTTTCTTTCGATGCTTTTTTTTGGTCACTTTTTTCACATTTTCTTATCACTTTTTTGTGTTCTTTGTAGCCTTTTTTGTTTTTTCCCATTTTCCCCCTTTTTTTCCTTCACATTATTTTGTGGTCTTTTTATCACCTTTTTTTTCACTTTGTTTGTGGCCTTTTTTGTCGCTTTTGTTTCTTTACATTTTTTATCGTTTCTTCTGTTACTTTTTTCCGCCGTTTTTCCCTTTTTCTTGTTATTTTTTCCTTTTTTGTCTGGAGTTTTAAAGTTTTTACGTAGTTTTTTGACGTTTTTTTTTGTTTTTTCCCCTCCATTTTTTTTTCGCCTTTTTTTTGTTCACACTTTTTTGTACTTTTTTTCCAATTTTTGTCTCCAGTTTTATGGCTTAATTTTATGGTTTTTGTGTTGCTTTGGACGCTTTTTTAAATAATTTTTGCATGTTTTTTCGCCTTTTTTTGTCCTTCACTTTTTTTGTCGTTTTTTCTGTTGTTTTTTTCGTCGTTTTTTCGCATTTTTTGTCCATTGTGTCTCTAATTTTATGGAATTTTTTTAAATGTCTTTTTGTCGCCTATTTTTCTTTTTTTGTTTTTTTTTTTTTTTTTGTAATTTTTTTATGTCTATTTCTTCTTGCTTTACTTATAACTTTTTTGTGTTCTCTTTTTGTAGCGTTTTTTGTTTTTTTTTTTAGTTTTTTTTTCACATTTTGTTTTTCGACTTTTGATACTTTGTCTATAACTTTGAAAGAATATGTAAAGGGCGAGCGCAGCGAGCATTTTTAGGTTTTTAAAGCTTTTATTCATTAATTTATTAAAAATATTTTTTCAAGCTGTCAGGCAATTAAATACAGAAAAATCTTATGAAAATAAAATTTTGAATTTTGGGAATCAGATTCCGAAAACTCTGTTCCAGATTTAAAAAATACGAAGAATACTTATAACTGGAGAAAAGTGGTGTCTGAAATTCATAAACAAACAAAATCGCAACGAAACTTGTCATGCTCATAAAATAACTGAAAATTTCAATTTCTGCAGTCAGCTTGGAACAGGATCGTAGAGAGCTGGGGAGGCGGTGAAAGCTTGACATGCGTTTTATTCAGCGCCATCTATCTAAACTTCAAACTTCATGATGCGAGCGCAGCGAGCCCTTACATTGCGATTGTTCTTGTAAAGCCACCAACGATTCAATTTTTATTTAATGCAGTCGTTGTTTGGAATGAAACACCAAAAATTGTTTTTTTTTTTAATGGTTGAAAAAAAATCGGTTGAATTTAAATTGTGACATGAAAATTAACGTTCATAAAAATAACTGAAAATTTCAATTTCTCCAGTCGGCTTGGAGCAGGATAGCAGATTTGCCAGTAGGTTTTCAGTAACGTCACTTGTCAAGTGTTTTGTAGCGGCGCCACCTACTAACTGATAGGTACAAACTCGGTATAGAAACCTGTAATACCGTCTTCTTCTCCTGTCATCCTGGTCACAGATCGACGTTCAAGCTCGTCCTCGTTCGCTATCATTTTTAGTTACGCAAGAGCCCGACTTGGTGATTTTAGCGTTGTTACGTTGGCGGCGCTCGCGTCACTATATTGTGAAAAATGACACCCTTTTTTCAGGTTATGTAATTCCGAAAAATAACGATCGAAGCTTAAATTAAAATGACATTGTCTAGGTCATCTCTATTATCACTCCTATCAGTGTATTTACTCTAAAAAAAACCGAAAACTGCACGTCATGTTCACACAAACGGCGAAACTCGTCCACCAACACCTCCGCAGAATGCACCTTTTACACGACAAAGCCTACGTAAACGGGCAATGGGTCACCGCCGCCTCCAACAAGACCTTCCCCGTGGTCAACCCAGCCACCGGTGCCACAATTGGAACCGCCCCCGACATGTCAACCCAGGACACCCAACAAGCTATCGAAGCCGCCCACCAGGCCTTCCAGACCTGGCAGGACACCACAGCTAAAGAGCGCTCCCACCTTCTGCGAAAATGGTTCGACTTGCTGGTACAAAACCACGAAAACCTGGCCCAGATTATCACAGCTGAAGCCGGAAAACCCCTAATTGAGTCCCGCGGGGAAGTCGCCTACGGGAACTCCTTCATCGAGTTTTTTTCGGAGGAGGCGCGCCGAATTCAAGGTGAAATCATCCAAAGCCCAATTCCTGGAAGAAAGATTTTGGTGGAGAAGCAACCCATTGGGGTCGCTGGGTTGATCACACCGTGGAACTTCCCCCATGCGATGATTACGCGAAAAGCGGGGGCGGCGCTCGCCGCTGGGTGCACCTGTGTGATCAAACCAGCTGAAGATACCCCGTTTACGGCTTTAGCGTTGATGGAGTTGGCACACGAAGCCGGGATTCCAAAGGGGGTGCTTAACGTGGTGACCAGCAGCCGGGAGAACGCCCCCTCGATAGGTAATTTGTTGTGCACGAGCCCCTTAGTCGCGGGATTGTCTTTTACAGGGTCCACTCAAGTGGGGAAGTTGTTGTATGAGCAGTGTTCGACTGGGGTCAAACGAATCGGGTTAGAACTGGGGGGCAACGCAGCTTTTATAGTCTACAAGAGCGCCAATGTTGATAGTGCTATTAAGGGGGCCATCGCTTCGAAATTCCGCAATTGTGGTCAAGCCTGTGTGGCCTCCAATCGCTTCCTCATTGAAAACCCCATCTATGATTCTTTCATTGAAAAGCTTCTCCAAGAAGTACGAAATTTGAAACCTGGGGGCAACGTGGGGCCGCTGATTAATGAAGCCCAGTTTGATAAAGTTTCGAGTTTGGTAGAGGACGCTGTATCCAAGGGGGCGAAGGTGCTAGCAGGCGCTAAACCCTCTGATCATGGTAAACTTTTCTATGAACCCACAGTTTTGACAGATTTAACCCCCGAGATGAAACTCTACAAGGAGGAGGTTTTCGGACCCGTTATCAGCATCTTCAGGTTTGATACAGAGGAGGAGAGTCTTAAGATCGCTAACGACACGGAGAGGGGGCTAGCGGGGTATTTTTATTCACAGGATGTTTCCCAGATTTTTAGGGTTTCTAAGAAGTTGGAGGTGGGGATGTGTGGGGTCAATGAGGGGGTAATTTCGACGGCCGAGGCACCCTTCGGGGGGGTGAAAGAATCGGGGGTGGGGCGCGAGGGGTCGCACCACGGAGTGGATGATTTTACCTACATTAAGTATGTTAGTTTAGGGAATTTGTAAGATTTATGGTGTTTGCACTGTTTATATTTAATTAAGTAGATAAGAGTGATTTAATTTAGTCTTAAGAGAAAAGTGGATTTAGTGGGTTGAGTCATGAAAAGTAGCGTCATAAGAGTGTTGTTGCCGAAGGAGGGGGTGGTTAAGACAAGGGGGCGCAAGCTGAATAGGTATTTTTTTTTTGTTAATGTTGGTGTTACTCCTTTTTTTTAATGTACTTTTTATATATACAAGAAGTGTGCTAATTTATTATTGTACAGGGTGATTGTGATACATTCCATTGTATACATTAATATGTACATTTTAAAATTTTAATTTTAACACCCTGTATGTAGTATATATTACCTATGTAAAAAAAAAGAATAAGTCTTCCAACTAAAAGTCTAAAAGTCTTCCATAGGTACTGAGTGAGCAAGTTCCTGTAATACAGTGTGTAGATAAATAAATAAATATTGCTGCTGATCTCAATGTTGTGTTTTTCAAAACACACCCTGTATCCTTAGAAATTTATAACCTCAAAAACAAGCACAATCTTAACAAACATTATCATCATAATTGTGTATTGTAAAAATGTTATTTGCTAGATTTATCCTGTTGACACTTTTTTTTAGTAAGCAAGATAAGACCAAGCGTGTTAACCTTGTAAATCTTCCACTGGCCACTAGAGACTCACCCTGTATATAATAATAATAGAACAGTCTCTTTATTAACAATGCGGTGTTAATGTCCCAAGTTCATCTATTTCCGCATTCGTAGCCCCCTTGCCAAGAAATCTAAAATTATCAGCTACAACCTCTTCACGAACCCCAGGTTGTTAACATTTACTCCCCGCTTATTTATAATCAAATCTCTTCCAGAATCCAGCAAGTCGATGGCGGCTTCTTCGAAAAATTCGGCAACCTCTTCCGGGAGCACGCCGAGCTGGTGGAGAACCAGGAGACCGAGGAGAAGGAGAAGGTGGCCAAAATCGCCGAGATGGTGCGCTCCGACGAGCCCATCGACGACGACAGCGAGGTCTTAGCGCTGTCGGATAGTGACACGGAGGCGAAGAGTCTGGCTTCGGACTCGGAGGAGGAAAAGGACAAGACTGAGCTGATTTCGGCGGCCTTCAATGTGAGTAATTGAGTATGAAAGCGGAAACGGTGTTTATTGGGAATACGCCGATTTAATTCGGGCTGTTAATCGCGTTGTTGTCAAAATAAACACGAGATTTACGGGCCACTTTTACGTCCCGTGCTGATTATTAACTGGGGGCTAAAAATATGCTGCGGAAATTAACTCGGGCCGGGTGAAGTTTATCCGCTACTGCTTGGATTGTGTGGCGATGTTGGTGTTGGTACATGGTGGATCTGGCAATTTTTTTTAAATTTTGTAAACTCGAAGTCCAAAAACTGTAAAAAATTTTGAAAAGTATCGTTTCTAGAACACTCAAAAAGTTTCAAAGTTTTGGGAATAATGCGAGAATTGGAAGCTTATAGCTTTGTAAACTTTGAAGTTGTTCTAAAAGCTGGAAATATTTGTAAAGTCGTAGGAACCTTTAAGTAAGTCCCAAAATTGCGGCTCTCATCAAGAAGGGTATTAATTTTGGAAGCATTTAGTTTTGAAACATTTACGAAACTTTCAAACCTTGGAAAATCGAAGTCAAAAAATTGTGGACTTACAGGTTTGTAAACTTTGAAAAAACTTCGATGTATTGTAAGCTGGACTTCCAAAAATTGTAAATATCTGTAAAATTGTAAAAAACTTTCAGTAAGTCCCAAAATTGCTACTGTTTTAAATGTTCATCAACAAAAGAATTAACTTTGGAACAATTTAAATCTTGAAAAGCCGTGAAACCTGCGAAATATTTTTAAATATTGGAAATTCGAAGTCCAAAAAGGGTAAAACTTTGAAACTTTCACGTTTCTGGAACACTTAGTAGCTTTGAGAATAGTGTGAAAGTTGGAACCTTACAGATTTATAAATTTTGAAGTTCTAAAAATTAAAAATCTCTGGTATATTGTAAATTTAGTTTTGAAACATTTACGAAAGTTTCAACTCTTGGAAAATCGAAGTCCAAAAATTGTAAAATTTTTGAAAATTTTGTTATTTCTAAAACACTTCAGAATTTCCCAAGTGTTGTGACAAATGTAAAAATTGAAAACGTATAGCTTTGTAAACTTTGAAGTTCTACAAAGTTAAAAAAGATAGTGTAAGCTGGACTCCAAAAAATCGTAAAATTTGGAAAAATGTGAGAAGCTTCGAATGTCAAAGAACTTAAAAATCTTTGGAGTGAAGCCAGAAGTCCAAACATTAGAAAATATTTAAATACTCGGTAATATTTAAAAGCACTATGAAATATAGAAAAAATTATAACAAGGAAGTCCCAAAATTCCGATTGTCTCAGATAGTTGGCAAAAATAATTTTGGAAAAATTTAAGTCTTCAAACTTCTATGAAAGTTGCAAAATGTTTTTAAATGTTCGAAACTCGAAGTCCAAAAGTTGTAAAAATTGAAAACTTTGTCATTTCTAAAAGATTTGAGAAGTTCTAAAGCTTTGGGTATATTGTAAAAGTTAGGAACTTACATATTATTGAAAATATTTGTAAAATTGTAAGAAGCTTTAAGTAAGGTCCAAAATTGCGACTCTTTCGATCGATCATCAACAAAAGCATTAATTTGGAACAATTTAAATCTTGAGAGTTCTGTGAAAGCTGCCAAATATTTTTAAACCTTGGAAACTCGAAGTCCAAAAATGGTAAAACTTTTGAAAACTTTCTTGTTTCTGAAACACTTACGAAGCTTCAAAACTTTGAGAATAACAATGTGAAATTTGGAAACGTGCAGCTTTGTATATTTTGAAGTCCTAAACATCTTTGATACATTGTAAGTTGGATTTCCAAAAATTGTAAATATTTGTAAAATCGTAGGAAGCTTTGAATAAATTCAAAAAATTGCTACGTTTTGGACGGTCATCAGAAAAAATAATTTCGGAAGAATTAAAATCTTGAAACATCTACGAAACTTGCAAAATGTTTTAAGTTTTGGTATTTCAAAGTCTAAAAATTGTAAAAATTTTGAAAAGTTTATCGTTTCTGGAACACTTAAAAAGTTTTTGAAAAGTTTGCGGCTTACTTATAAATATTTGTAAACTCGTTGGAAGTTTTAAGTAAGTCCCAAAATTGCGGCTCTTTCAAATTGTCAACAACAAAGGAATTAATTTTGGAAGAATTTAGTTTTGAAACTTACGAAAGTTTCAAATTTTGGAAAATCGAAGTCCAAAAATTGTAAATATTTGTAAAATTGTAAAAAACTTTAAGAAGTCCCAAAATTGGTACTGTTTCAAATGTTCATCAACAAAGAAATTAATTTGGGATGAATTATGCCTTGAAATAAGTATTTACGAAAGTTTGAAATCTTGGAAAGTCGAAGTCCAACATTTATAAAAATTTCGAAAACTTTGCTACTCCTCAAATACTTCCGAATTTCCCAAGTGTTGTGACAAATGTAAAAATTGAAAACGTAAAGCTTTGGAAACTTTGAAGTTCTACAAAGTTTCGAAAAATATAGTGTCAGCTGGACTTGAAAAAATCATAAAATTTGGAAAAGTCAAAGAACTTATAAATCTTTGGAGTGAAGCCAGAAGTCCAAACATTAGAAAATATTTAAATACTCTAATATTTAACAGTACTATGAAAAATAGAAAAAATTATAACAAGGAAGTCCCAAAATTCCGATTGTCTCAGACAGTTGGCAAAAATAATTTTGGAAAAATTTAAGCCTTTAAACTTCTACGAAAGTTGCAAAATGTTTTTAAATGTTCGAAACTAGAAGTCCAAAAGTTGTAAAAATTGAAAACTTCCCCATTTCTAAAAGATTTGAGAAGTTCCAAAGCTTTGGGTATATTGTAAAAGCTGGGAACTTACATATTACTTATTGTAAATATTTGTAAAATTGTAAGAAGCTTTAAGTAAGTCCCAAAACTGCGACTCTTTCGATCGATCATCAACAAAAGAATTAATTTGGAACGACTTAAATCTTGAAAGTTCTGTGAAAGCTGCCAAATATTTTTAAACCTTGGAAACTCGAAGTCCAAAAATGGTAAAACTTTTGAAAACGTTCTTGTTTCTGAAACACTTACGAAGCTTCAAAGCTTTGAGAATAATATGAAAGTTGAAAACTTGTAACTTTGTAAATTTTTAAGTTCTAAAAATCTTTCATATATTGTAAGTTGGACTTCCAATAAGTATAAATATTTGGAAAGTTGGAGGAAGCTTTATAGAAGTCCCAAAATTGCGACGGTTTCAAACCGACATCACAAAAAAGATTTTGGAGGAATTTGAAGCTGGAAACATCTATGAATTTTTTAATTTTGGAAATTCGAAGTTCAAAAATGGGTAAACTTTTGAAAATTTTCTCGTTTTTCAAACACTTACGGCTTAATAATGTGAAATTTGGAAACATGTAGCTTTGTAAATCTTGAAGTTCTAAACATTTTTGATATACAGGGTGTTATTGAAAGGTACGTACAACAAAACTGATAGTTATTCGCGAAGTTTAAGAAGTCGGAAAAACATTTTGTGTTATCAAAATTATAAGGAGAAAATGAACCCTTATCCAACCTTTTTAGACGCTACTGAAAGATAAATAGGTAAAATTAATTTATTTTAGTAAATCCTAGCAACTGTAACAATAAAACTTTTGTCAAGACTAAATGTTGCTATAGAAACGAAAGACGATCTTTTTATCAGAGGCGTACAACGAATTTGGACATTAATTTTAATAATTTTTATCTCTAAAAGGAGAACACTTTCACCTGAACTTTTTTTTACTTTTAGCACCCATACTTCGAGACCAATTGCCGATTTTATTTTGTACGTACCTTTCAATAACACGCTGTATGTATATTGTAAGTTGGATTTCCAAAAAATTGTAAATATTTGTAAATTTGTCGGAAGCTTAAGTAAGATTCAAATTTGCGACGATTTAGACAATCATCGGTAAAAAATTAATTTCAGAAAAATTTAAATTTTGAAAATCTGGAAAAGTTGCAAAGTACTTTTAGATTTTAGAAATTGGAAGCCCAAAAATTGTAAAAATTTTGAAAAGTTGTTTCTAGAACAATTATAAGTTTCAAAGTTTTGGGAATAATGCGAAAATGGGAAATTTACAGCTTTGTAAATTTTGAAGTTCTAAAAATCTTCGATATTTCATAAGTTGGATTTTCAAAAATTGTGAATATTTGGAGAATTATAGAAAATCTTAAATAAGATCCAAATTTGCGACGTTTTAGACGGGCGTTGGTAAAAAAATAATTTCGGAAGAATTTAAATTGCAAAATATTTTTAGAATTGAAAATTTGAAGTCCAAAAATTGTAAAAATTTCGAAGAAGAATTTGTCCTTTCAAGAACACTTAAAATGTTTCCAAGTTCTAAAAATCTTAATAATAATAAACTTCGATATTTTGTTACGTTGGACTTCCAAATATTGTAAATATTCAGTAAATTATAGAAAACTTTAAATAAAACCCAAATTTGTGACGTTTTAGACGGGCATGGGTAAAAAAAATAATTTCCGTAGAATTTAAATCTTGAAACATCTAGGAAAATTGCAAAATGTTTTTAGAATTGGAAACTTGAAGTCCAAAAATTGTAAAAGAATTTATCCTTTCAAGAACACTAAAAAAGTTTCAAAGTTTTGAGGATAATGCGAAAATTGGAAACTTACAGCTTTGTAAATTTTGAAGTTTTAAAAGTCTTCCATATTTTGTAAGTTGAAGTTCCAAAAATTGTAAATATTCGGAAAATTGTAGGAAGCTTCAACTAAGTCCCAAAATTGCAACAAGTACAAACGGTCAACAACAAAAAAATAATCTTGGAAGAATTTAAATCTTGAAATATGTACGAAAGTGCAAAATATTTTTAAATCTTGAAAACTCAAAGTCCAAAAAGGAAAAACTTGAAAATTGTTGTTTCTGAAACACTTACGACGGTTCTAGCTTTGAGAATAATGTTTGAAGTTCTGAAAACCTTTGACACATTGTAAGTTGGACTTCCAAAAAATGTAAATATTTGTAAAATTGTAGGAAGCTTTGAGTAAGTTCCAAAATTGTTTAGATCTTCGAAAACTCAAAAACCAAAAATTGAAAAAATTTCGAAACTTTCGTTTCTAAAACAATTAACCAGTTTTGGGAACTCATATAAATTGTAAACTTTGAAGTTCCAAAGAGTTTCAACAAATATGAATATTGTAAAATGGAGTTCCAAAATTTGTAAAAAATTGGAAAATTATGAGAAGCCATAAGTCCAGGCGTTATAAAATAAAAGTGTGTAAAATACGTAAAATAAGGAAAGATGTCCCAAAGTCTTGAAATCTCCACGAAAGTTGCAAAATGTTTATAAAACTTGGAAACTCGAAGTCCAAAAAATTTCTAAACTATATAATTTCTAAAATACTCACAACCTTTGTAAAGTTTGAAGTTCTAAAAAGTTTCAGTAAATATATTGTACAATGGACTCCCAAAATTTTTAAAAATTTGGCAAATTGTGAGAAGCTTGAAATGCTAGAAAAACCATAAGCCATCATAAAATAAAAGTATGAAAAAAAGCGTATAGAAGGAAGGAAGTCCCGAAATTCCGGTGGTTTCAGATAGCGATCAGCAAAAAATGGTTTTGAAAGAATTTAAATCTTGAAACCTCCACGGAAATTGCAAAATGTTTGTAAATCTTGGAAACTCGAAGTCCGAAAATTGAAAAAAATTCAAAACTTTGTCATTTCTAAGGGACTTAAGAAGTTTCAAAGTTTGACAGTTCTAAAAAGCTTCAGTAAATATATTATAAAATGGACTTCCAAAATTTGTAAGAATTTGGAAAATTGTGAGGGGCCGGAAATGTCAAAGAACTTATAAATTTATAAAACAAAAATATGAAAAAAATATATAAGGAAGGAAGTCCCAAAATTAAGATGGTTTCACATGATGAGCAGCAAAAAAATTATTTCGGGAGAATCTTAGTCTCTAGGAAACTTGCAAGAAATTCGAAGTCCAAAAATCGAGAAAATGTAAGTTGAGCTTCCAAAAATTGTAGAAAAAACCTGGAAAATAACAAGAAGCCCGATTTTCTCGTCCCTCGTCGGCGCAGTTTTCTAAGACTCGAACTCCCGCAAGCTGAGAGGTCCCGCGCCGCCAGCTCATAATCCAAGCATGTACGGGTAAACCACCACCACGAACCGCGTTTCCGCGGCCGCTAATTAATTAATTTCGGTACGAAAATACGCATCTCTTGACCCACATCCCACTCGGCCACTTTACGACTCACAAAGCCGATCAAAATAAAAATAAATCGGCATAAAGCACCATCCAGGAATGCCGATTGCCGGTCACATGATTGATCGGCACAGTTTTACGTCACGATCGAATCGGTTTTTCTTGATGGAGGAGCTCTCTTTGCGCTGCAAATATTAATGTCAGTCACGCAACTTGACCAGAATAGATTTGGCAGCCGCGGTGAACTTGATTAGTCGGAGTTTTGGCGGCAGTCGGAGAACACCCTGTATTCGGTGCCCAGCGAGTATGTCGGCGGAATCGATCCGGGGGCGGCGCGATCAATAAAAGTAACAATGTTGAGGGGTAGTGTGTCCGAGTGCAGTTTGAGCGTGCCGGGGCCGAAGCCGACGTTTCGGACCATGCCGCGGAACGCCTTCAGGGGCGTGAAGAAGGCCGAGCTGCAGCGGCAGACGACTCTGTATCTGGCGTCGATGACTGTGCGTGGTTGGGGTAAAAACGAGGGCGGTTTTCAAAGTTGTTGGCTTGCAGATCGAGGAGCTCTACGGGGAGGTCCTGTTCGAGATCCTGCACAACGTGGGCTGCGACGTCAGCGTGGATATTGGGCAGACGGCGCTGATTTCGTACGCCCAGGACGCGTTCAAGATCCCGAATAACAAGCACCAGGTGCTGCTGGCGGAGGCGGAGAAGAAGGAGGCGCCGGAGATCATGATCAATGTGGAGGTGATCGAAGCCAAAGATTTGAAGCCAAAGGACTCGAACGGGTTGAGTGATCCGTTCGTTACGCTGTATCTAGCGAGCAACCAGACGCATAGGTACAACACTTCGGTCAAGTATAGGACGCTGGCGCCGACGTGGGAGGAGCATTTCGCCTTGTAAGTGTCGGGGGTGCTATTTTTGGTGGCGGTGTTGCGAAAAAATTGACGAAATTGGGCTGGGGCGAAAGTTGATTGATTATGCTGTGGTGAGGTGACATGCGACATTTGACAGATCAAGCAGTTTCTGATCTGGAAACTTGAAATTCTAAAAATTTTCCAAATATTGTAAATTGGACATTCAAAGATTGTAAATACAAAGTTTGAAAAAAAAGTAATATTCTGGAAAGAAGCCGTAAGTCCAAATATATAATGTTAAAGTTCACGTAAGTCCGAAAACTATGATGGTTTCAAACGAAAAGAGTAGTTTTGAATTTGTTATAAAATATTTACGAAAATCGCGTAACTTGAAGTCCAAAAAAAGTTTATAATTTGCAAACTTTGTCATTCGTAAAACACATAAAAACTTTAAAAATTTTAGGAATGATGGGAATAATTTTCTGGAGAGTAAAAACTAATTTTGGAAAAATTTTGGTCTTGAGATATTTACGAAAATTGCGAAATTTTTTTAATTTTGGAAACTCGGAAAATTTAAAACTTTTTTTCATTCCTAAAACACAGAAGAAAAAGAATTTGGGAATGAAATATTTCAAGAAGCTAAAAAAGTAATATTCTCGAGAGAAGTTATAAATCTAAATATACAATTTTAAAGTTCAAGTAAGTCCCAAAATTACGATGATTTCAGACGAAAGGATTAGTTTTGAATTTGTTTGACATATTTACGAAAATTGAAGTCCGAAAATTGTAAAAAACTTGCAAAATTTGTCATTTGTAAAACACCTAAAAAGTTTCAAAATGGTGGGAATAATTTTCTGGAGAAGTCGTAAGTCCAAACAAAATATTAAATACACTTAATACTACTAAAAATAAGGGAAACATAATTTTCGAAAAATTTTAGTCGTGAGATATTTACGAAAATTGCGAAATTTTTTAAATTTTGGAAAATTGAAAGTACAAAAACGGTAAAAATTGGAAACTTTTTTCGTTCCTAAAACACTGAAGACATTTCAAAATTTTGAGAATGATTGTAAACTTTCAAGTTTGTAATTTTTGAAGTTCTAAAAAAGTTCGAAATATTGTAAATTGGACTTCCAAAATGGTAAAAGTTTAAAACATTTAAGAAGCTAAAAAAATAATTATTCTTGAGAACAGCCGTAAGTCCAAATGTAGAAAATAGTACAATTTTAATGTTCAAGTAAGTCCAAAATTCTGATGATTTCGGACGAAAAGATTAATTTTGAATTTGTTTTGACATATTTACGAAAATTACGAAACTTGAAGTCCAGAAATAGTACAAAATTTGCAAACTTTGTCATTTGTAAAACACTTAAAAAGTTTCAAAACTTTAAGAACAATAGGAAAATTCTCAACTTTCAATCTTTAAAGTTCTAAAAAATTCCAAAGATTGAAAACGCTTGAAAAATATTAAGAAGTTTGAAAAACGTTATAATTTTCTGGAGAGAAGCCGGAAGTCCAAACATAAAAACACTTCATACTACTAAAAATAAGGGAAAAATAACATGCGAGAGAAAGTCCCAACATTGTGATGGGTTTAGACGAAAAAACTAATTTTGGAAACTTATAAATCCAAAAATTGTAAAAAATTGAAAACTTGTAAGTCCAAATATATAATGTTAAAGTTCACGTAAGTCCCAAAACTATGATGGTTTCAAACGAAAAGATTCGTTGTGAATTTGTTTTAACATATTTACTAAAATTGCAAATCTGGAAGTCCAACAATTGTAAAAAATTTGCAAACTTTGTCATTCGTAAAACACCTAAAAAGTTTCAAAAATTTAGGAGTGATGGGAATGATTTTCTGGAGAAGCCGTAAGTCTAAATAAAATATTAAAAACACTTGATACTACTAAAATAAGGAAAACCTAATTTACGCAAGAAAGTCCCAAAAGTTTGATGGTTTTAGATGGAAAAACTAATTTTGGAAAAATGTTAGTCTTGAGATGTTTACGAAAATTAGGAAATTGTTTTAATCTTGGATACTTGGAAGTCCAAAAATGGTGAAATTTGAACAAATTTTTGGTTCCTAAAACACTGAAGAAGTTTCAATAGCTTCAAGTTTATAATTTTTGAAGTTTTAAAAAAGTTCGAAATATTGTAAATCGGACTTCAAAAATGGTAAACATTTGAAATATTTTAAGAAGCCAAAAAAAAGAATTATTCTTGAAAAAAACCGTTAGTCCAAATATACAATTTTAAATTTCAAGTAAGTCCCAAAATTGTGATGGTTTTAGGGGGAAAACTAATTTTGGAAAAATTGTAGTTTTCAGATATTTAGGAAAATTACGAATTTTTTGAAATTTTGGAAACTCGGAAGCCCAAAAATGGTAAAAATTTGAAAAATATTTTCGTTCCTAAGACACTGAAAAAGTTTCAAAATTTTCGGTAAAGTTTCAAGTTTGTAATTTTTGAAGTTCTAAAAAAGTTCGAAATATTGTAAATTGGACTTCCAAAATGGTAAAAGTTTAAAACATTTAAGAAGCTAAAAAAATAATTATTCTTGAGAAAAGCCGCAAGTCCAAATGTACAAAATAGTACAATTTTAATGTTCAAGTAAGTCCAAAATTCTGATGATTTCGGACGAAAAGATTAATTTTGAATTTGTTTTGACATATTTACTAAAATTGCGAAACTTGAAGTCCAAAAATAGTAAAAAATTTGCAAACTTTGTCATTTGTAAAACACTTAAAAAGTTTCAAAACTTTAAGAATAATAAGAAAATTGTCAACTTTCAATCTTTAAAGTTCTAAAAGATTCCAAAGATTGTAAACACTTGAAAAATATTAAGAAGTTTGAAAAAACGTTATAATTTTCTGGAGAGAAGCCGGAAGTCCAAACATAAAGACACTTCATACTACTAAAAATAAGGGAAAAATAACATGCGAGAGAAAGTCCCAACATTGTGATGGGTTTAGACGAAAAAACTAATTTTGGAAACTTATAAATCAAAAAATTGTAAATGATTGTAGACTTCCAAAGATTGTAAATACCTGAAGAAGTTTAAAAACTTAAAAAAGAGAAGCCGTAAGTCCAAATATATAATGTTAAACTTCACGGAAGTCCCAAAACTATGATGGTTTCAAACGAAAAGATTCGTTGTGAATTTGTTTTAACATATTTACTAAAATTGCGAATCTTGAAGTCCAACAATAGTAAAAAACTTGCAAACTTTGTCATTCGTAAAACACCTAAAAAGTTTCAAAAATTTAGGAGTGATGGGAATGATTTTCTGGAGAAGCCGGAAGTCCAAACAATATATTAAAAACACTTAATACTGCTAAAAATAAGGAAAACCTAATTTACGCAAGAAAGTCCCAAAAGTTTGATGGTTTTAGATGGATAAACTGATTTTGGAAAAAATTTAGTCTGAGATATTTACGAAAATTAGGAAATTGTTTTATTTTTGGATACTTGGAAGTCCAAAAATGGTAAAATTTTAAAAATTTTTTGGTTCCTAAAACACTGAAAAAGTTTCAATAGCTTCAAGTTTATAATTTTTGAAGTTCTAAAAAATTTCGAGATATTGTAAATTGGACTCCAAAAATGGTAAACATTTGAAATATTTTAAGAAGCCAAAAAAAGAATTATTCTTGAGAAAGACCGTTAGTCCAAATATACAATTTTAAATTTCAAGTAAGTCCCAAAATTGTGATGGTTTAAGGGGGAAAACTAATTTTGGAAAAATTGTAGTTTTCAGATATTTAGGAAAATTACGAATTTTTTGAAATTTTGGAAACTCGGAAGCCCAAAAATGGTAAAAATTTGAAAAATATTTTCGTTCCTAAGACACTGAAAAAGTTTCAAAATTTTCGGTAGTTTCAAGTTTGTAATTTTTGAAGTTCTAAAAAAGTTTGAAATATTGTAAATTGGACTTCCAAAATAGTAAACATTTGAAATATTTTAAGCTAAAAAAGTAATATTATTGAGAGAAGTTATAAGTCTAAATATACAATTTTAAAGTTCAAGTAAGTCCCAAAATTATTATGGTTTTGAATTTATTCTGCATTTTTACGAAAATTGCATAACTTGAAGTCCAAAAATTGTAAAAAATTTGGAAACTTTGTCATTCGTAAAACACTTAAAAATTTCAAAATTTTAAGAATAATGGGAAAATTGTCAACTTCCAATTTTGCATTCCAAAAATTCCAAAAATTGTTTGAAAGATTTGAAAAATTTTAAGAAGTTTATAAAAACGTTATAATTTTCTGGAGAGAAGCTGCAACCATAAAATGTTAAATACACTTCACATTACTAAAAATAAGGGAAAAATAACGTGTGAAAGGTCCCAAAATTGTGATGGTTTTAGACGAAAATAGTAATTTTGGAAACTTGTAAGTCCAAAAATTGTAAAAATTTGAACACTTGTCATTCCTAAAATACTGAGGAAGTTTAAAAATTTTGGACTTCCAAGTTTGTAATTGTTTGAAGTTCTAAAAAAGTCCGAAATATTGTAAGTTGGACTTCAAAAAATTGTAAACATTTGCAAAAATTTAAGAAGTTAAAAAAACGTTACAGTTTTCTGGAGAAGCCGTAAGTCCAAACATAAAATGGTCATTAAATATGTTTGTAAATTTTGGAAACTTGAAGTCCAAAAATTGTAAAAGATTTGAAACTTTTATCATTTCTAGAAACCCTGAAGAAGCTTCAAAATTTTGGGAACGATCGGAAAATTGTCAACTTTCAATTTTGTAATTTTCCAAATTTTAAAAAATTTCGAAAAATTGTAAGTTGGACTTCCAAAGATTGTTAACATTTGAGAAATTCTAGGAAGTTTAAAAAAACGTTATAATTTTCTGGAAAGAATCCGTAAGTCCAAACATAAAATGTTCAATACACATAATATTACTAAAGAAAAGGGAAAAATTATGTGTGGAGGAAGTCCAAAAATTCCGACGGTTTCAGACGCAAAAACTTATTTTGGAGAAATTTTAGTCTTTTAGATTTTAAGAAAATTGCGACATGTTTTTAAAATGAATATTTTTAAAATGTAGAAAATTGAAGTCCAAAAATTGTAAAAATTTGAAAACTTTGTCATTGCTAAAACACTTAGAAGTTACAAAATTTTGGGAATGATGAACTTCCAATTTTGTATTGTAAGTTGAAGTTCTAAAGAATTTCGAAATATTGTAAGTTGGACTTCCAAAAATGTAAACATTGGGAAACTTTACTCAAAAAAATTATATACGAAAGTAATTCTGATGGTTTCAGACGAAGAAAATAATTTTGAATTTTAGTTTTGAATCATTTTCGAAAATTGGTAATGATTTAAATTTTGGAAAAAAAATTGAAGTTTTGTGTTTCCTATAAGACTAAAGAAGTCTCAAAACTTTAGAAATGATGGGAAAATTGTAAACCTGCATTGTAATTTTTTAATAATTTCTGAATAATATTGAAAATGTAAAAAAAAATTGAAATGTTAAGTTGGAGTTCTTAAATTGGAAACATTTGGTAAATTTTAAGAACTTTTGAAGTAATATTCCGGAGAGGAGTCGTAAGTCCAAATGTAAAATGTTAAATTCTCTATAGTTTTCAAACATTTAGAAAAATTTTAGATACTTGAAATCAAAAAACTATAAAATATTTGAAAACATTTTTTATTACTGAAGACTTGCAACATTTGGAAAATTTTTGAAAAAAATAATTTTGGGACAAGCCGTAAATCCAAAAATAAAGTGTTAAGTAGGTACTCGAAAAAATTAGATTTTGTTTTGAAATATTTACCAAAATTGCGAAAAGTTTAAAATTTTGATAATTGGAAGTCTAAAAATAGTATAGAATTTGGTAGTTTTTTCAAAAATTGTGAACATTTGGAAAATTTTCGTAAGTTTGAAAAAGTTATTGTCTTCAGGAGAGAAGCCGTAAGTTCAAACATAAAAATTAAAATACTGTGACACAATTTCGAAGAATTTTAAGTGGGACTAACAATTGTAATCATTTGGAAAATTTTCAGAAATTTGAAAAAGTTGTGAGCTTCTAGACAGAAGCCGTAAGTCCAAACATAAAATTTTCAATACCATGTAACACTTAATAGTACTGAAAAATGTGGCAATAGATTATCGCCTTCAAATGTTTAAGAAAATTGTGAAATGTTTTTAAATCTTGGAAATTTGAAGTCCAAAAATTATAAACTTTCCAGAAATTATAATCTTCTACAGAGAAACCGCAAGTCCAGTAATTCCATATAAATAGAAAAATCAAATTAAGAAGAAAGTCTGAAGTCCAAAATTTGCGAACACTGAAGTCCCAAAATTTGGACTTCCGATTTGTTTTTTTACCCACAAGGACCCAGTAACAACCTCTTCTCCACAGACCCGTCTCCGACAACTGCAACGACGACACCCTCTGCATCGAGGTGTGGGACTTCGACGCCGCCGAGTCCGTCAAGGAGAAGTTCGGCCGCTTCTCCGACGTCAAGGGCGTCAAGGGCATGCGCAAGTTCATCAAAGAGATCGCCGTCGCCGCCACCACCGGCCAGCACGACAACGAACTCATCGGCGTCTCCCGGATCCCTCTCAGCACCATCCCCGCCTCCGGCATGACCATGTGGTACAGCCTCGACAAGAAGAACAAAATTCCCCGCCAAGGCGTCATCAAAGTCCGCGTGGCCTTCAGCTCGGAGAAGAATCACCAGGTGGCCCAGCAGGAGCACCGCCACATGCTGAAGATCCTCCTCTTGCACGAACTCGAGGTGTCCAAGGTGGCGCCTTTCTGGTGGTGCGGCAACTTCAGCCCCCAAGGAGAGGCCCTCCTGGTGCAGCACATAGCCCAGTCGGGACTCACCCCCGCGGAGGTAGCGCTGTGCCAGCTGTCGGTGTACGCGTGCGTCCACCACAACCACCCTCTGTCCTTCACGCTGTTCGCCAAGCTGGTGGACAAGCTGGTGAAGCCGCTCCAAGGAGGGGTCGGCGAAGACGAGGTGAAGATCTTCTGGGACGCCGTGAAGAAGTTGTTGCCTTCGTGCTTCACGGTCATCCGGAAGATACGGAAGAAAGACTTCAAGGATAAAACGACGGTGCAACAATTGAGTGAAGTGTTGAGTATTTTGAGGAACGTGACGGTGTTGGGGATCCCCCAGGACATGGATTTGTTTCCCAGTGGTTGGTATCCGTGGTTGTCGTACTGCGACAACTGCCACAGAGACGTTTTGGGGGTGGTGGAGGACGCGGTGAAACAAGGAGCCGAGGATTGGTTTAACCACATCATCGAGAACAATGTGCAACAAGACGGTGGTGGGGGGAAGCTACAGTACTTGATTCAGGCGATCCAGCTGGTGCGCAGCGACCTACAGAAGGCTCTAGAGTTCTACGATAAACTGTTTCAAGAGTGAGTAAGGTTCAAAATCGCAAAATTCGTCACTGTGTTTGATTCATTCCAGAACCATCTCATTCCAATACACCAAGTCCCTCTACGTCTTCTACCAAGCGAAGATTTCGGCCCTCGCTGAACCCGACGTTCGCGATATCTGCAAGAACTTGAAGAAACTGTCATTCACAGGCTTCACCACGGCGGAAACCGACTCCGACGAGCCGCTCAAAGAAGGCACCACGCTGTTTGAATTGTACTTAGCTCTGCACAGATTCGTGGTTCTGGGGCAGGGTTTGTGTCAGGTGGACCACGAAACTTTCCATATTAAGAATTTCCACCAGTGGTTCCACGGGGGTGTCGCCCAGTGGCTGGACATAGCCGTTTTTAAAGCACTTCAAAGGATCGAGAAGGCCGTGGAGTTGGATAATTTGGTGCCGGTGGACACCAGCGTGAAGTATAGTTCTTCAGCTGTTGATACTTTGACTATTTTTTATCAAGTAGGTGTCGTCTATGTGTGTATATTGGAGGTTATATTTGTTTGTTTGTAGGTGAAAGTATTTTGGCAGCAACTCAGTTGGCCGGATGTTGAGGGGTGCTACACGTTCATTGCCAAGATAATAGATGTGAGTTTAAAAATAACAATAAAAAAATAATTGTACAGAATAGGTAGCTGAAAGGTCGTTGTTTGTGTAAAAATAACCGAGAATTTCTAATTTTTGGCGTTTGGAGGTGGTTGTTTGATTGATGCTGGGCCCATGCGACAGGTGACATTCACATTTTTTGCTAAACTCTTGTTTAAAAAAATTAAAAACGCGTTCTTTTGTGTTAAGGAAGTGACAAGAACTCTCACTTTCTCTTCAAGTCGTGTGAAATTTTTTTTATTGATGCTGTGCTCACACGACATGTGACACTACAACTTGTTTCAAAATCAGTTTTCTTTTTTACCGATTTTTTTTTGTTGTTTTCGGCTGTCTTATTGTTATTTCATCATTTTTGTTGGTTTTTCTCGCATTTTTTCTTCTTTTTTTGTTGGCTTTTTTACAGCAGTGAGGTCAAATCTGGTTAATCGCCTTTTTTAGACTTTTGGGGCATTTTTCCGGCAGTTTTAGGTCGTCTTTTTTTGTTTTTTTTTAGATTCTTGAGATTTATTTTGGTGTTTATTTTGTCGTGTTTTATGTCACTAATTTTGTTTCGGATTTTTTTATTCTTTCTCGTTTTTTTTGTATTTTGTTGCTGTTTTCTTTTATCTTTGGCCTTTTTTGTCGTCTTCTCTCCCCTTTTTATCGTCCTTTTTGTTCTTTTTGAGTTTTTGGATTTTTCGCTGCTTTTTTTTTTATTTTTTTTTTCGCCCTTTTTTATCTGTTGGGGGTTTTCAGCTTGTTTTTAGCTGTTCTTTCTTCACTTAATTCCTTTTTTTCACTTCATTTTTTTTCAGCGTTTTCAGCTTTTTTGGGTCTGTTTTCTTCGCATTTATTTTTCAATTATTTCGCTTTTTTATTCTTTTTTCTTTTCTTGATGCTTGTTGGCGCTTTTTCTGCGTTTTTCTCTTCTTCTGGGCAATTTTTGTTCCGTTTTTCATTGCCCTTTTTTTGCGTTTTTCAGGCTTTCTCGACGTTTTTTGTCCCTTTTTTATACTTCTTTTTTCACTCTTTTTTTGTTGGCTTTTTATCGCCGTTTTTTGGCGATTTTTACCCTCGTCGTGTTTTTTTGGCCGCATTTTTGGTTTCGTTGCCGTTTTTTTGGTTTTTGGTTGCCTTTTTTCAGTACTTTTTATTGCTTTCCTTGTCGCCTTTTTAAGGTTTTCGTGGACTTTTTTGGCTTTTTTCACTTTTGCGCTTTTTTAGTTATTTTTGGCCTCTGTTTTGTTCTTGGTCGCCATTTTTTTTTGCTTTTTTTTGTCTTTTTTGTCACATTTTTTTTACCGTTTTTTATCGCCCCTTTCTTGTTTCTTTTTTTGTCGCCCTTTATGTTCTTTCTCATTTGTTTACTTTTTTTTAGTCGCCTTTTTGAATGTCAACCGTTTTTTGCCGGTTTTTGTTTTTTGTCACTTTTTTTTGATGAATTTTTGGCACTTTGTTCAGCTTTTTTAGCGGTTTTTCGTCATTTTTTATTGTGTTTTTTGTCCTTTTCTTTTTTTGGCTTTTTTTTGCTGCTTTCTTTGTTGTTTTCACCTTTTTTTTGTCGTTTGATATCCTCTTTTTATTGGCCTTTTTTTGGATTTTTCGCTGCTTTTCACTTGTTTTTAGGTGTTCGTTCTTCACTTTATTCCTTTTTTTTCACTTTATTTTTTTCACCGTTTTCAGCTTTTTTTGGTCTTTTTTTTTCGCATTTTTGTCTTGTTTTTCATATTCTTTTGTCGATTCTTTTTTCGCGTTTTTTCTCCCCTGTTTTTCAATTTTTTCGCTTTTTTATTCTTTTTTCTTTTCTTGATGCTTGTTGGCGCTTTTTTCTCTTCTCCTAGGCAATTTTTGTTGCGTTTTTCATTGCCTTTTTTTGTGTTTTTCAGGCTTTCGTGACAATTTTTTGTCCTTTTTTTTAACCTTCTTTTTTCGCTCTTTTTTTGTTGGCTTTTTTATTACCGTTTTTTGGCGATTTTTACCCTCGTCCTGTTTTTTTGGCCGATTTTTTGGTTTCGTTGCCGTTTTTTTGGTTTTTGGTTGCCATTTTCTAAACCGTTTTTTGGTTTTTCCTGTTGCTCGTTTTTTAGTACTTTTTTTATTGCTCTTTTTTATCGCTTTCCTTGTCGCCTTTTTAAGGTTTTCGTGGACTTTTTTCACTTTTTTGTCGCCTTTTTGTTTTTTTTCTTTTTTCGTTTTTCTAACTGAGTCTTTTGCGCCTTTTTAGTGATTTTTGGCCTCTGTTTAGTCCTTGATCGCCATTTTTGTCGCTTTTTTTGTCTTTTTTTTTCACTTATTTTTGCCGTTTTTTAATCGCCCCTTTCTCGCTTTTTTTTTTCTATTTTTTGGTACTTGTTGGCGCCTTTTTCCGCTTATTTTTTCTCTTCCTTCACTTTTTTTGTTCTGTTTTCCTTTGCCCTTTTTGTGCTTTTGGGCGTTGTTTTTTTACCTGTTTTTGGCCATTTGTGTCAAATTTTTTCGCTTTTTGTTTTTTTCTTTTTTCGTTTTTTCGTACTGAGTCTTTTGCGCCTTTTTAGTTATTTTTGGCCTCTGTTTTGTTCTTGGTCGCCATTTTTTTTTCGCTTTTTTTTGTCACATTTTTTTTTACCGTTTTTTATCGCCCCTTTCTTGTTTCTTTTTTTGTCGCCCTTTATGTTCTTTCTCATTTGTTTTTTTTTGGTGTTTTTTTGTCGCCTTTTTGAATGTCAACCGTTTTTTGCCGGTTTTTGTTTTTTGTCACTTTTTTTTTGGTGAATTTTTGGCACTTTGTTCAGCTTTTTTTTTTCTAGTTTTTGTCTTTTTTTGCTGCTTTCTTTTTTTGTTTTCACTTTTTTTTTATCGTTTGATATTCTCTTTTTATTGGCCTTTTTTTGGATTTTTCGCTGCTTTTTTTAAATTTTTTTTTGCCTTTTTTTTATCTGTTGTGGAGTTTTTCGCTTGTTTTTAGGTGTTCGTTCTTCACTTTATTCCTTTTTTTTCACTTCATTTTTTTTTCAGCGTTTTCGGCTTTTTTTGGTCTTTTTTTCTTCGCATTTTTGTCTTGTTTTTCATATTCTTTTTTCTTTTCTTGATGCTTGTTGGCGCTTTTTTCTCTTCTCCTAGGCAATTTTTGTTCCGTTTTTCATTGCCTTTTTTTGTGTTTTTCAGGCTTTCGCGACATTTTTTGTCCCTTTTTTAACCTTCTTTTTTCGCTCTTTTTTTGTTGGCTTTTTTATTACCGTTTTTTGCCGATTTTTACCCTCGTCCTGTTTTTTTGGCCGATTTTTTGGTTTCGTTGCCGTTTTTTGGTTTTTCCTGTTGCTCGTTTTTTAGTACTTTTTTATTGCTCTTTTTTATCGCTTTCCTTGTCGCCTGTTCAAGGTTTTCGTGGACTTTTTTCACTTTTTTGTCGCCTTTTTTGTATTTTTTGGCGCTGTTTTAAACATTTTTTTCGCTTTTTGTTTTTTTTTCTTTTTTCGTTTTTTCTGAGTCTTTTGCGCCTTTTTAGTGATTTTTGGCCTCTGTTTTGCTCTTGGTCGCCATTTTTTTCGCTTTTTTTTTGTCTTTTTTTTTTCACTTTTTTTTTGCCGTTTTTTAATCGCCCCTTTCTTGTTTCTTTTTTTGTCGCCTTTTATGTTCTTTCTCATTTGTTTCGTTTTTTGGTCTTGTTTTTTGTCGCCTTTTTTTGAATGTCAACCGTTTTTTTGCCGGTTTCTGTATTTTGTCACTTTTTTTTTTAGTGAATTTTTGGTACTTTGTTCAGCTTTTTTGGCGGTTTTTCGTCATTCTTTGTCGTGTTTTTATCCTTTTCGTTTTTTTTTGCTGCTTTCTTTTTTTGTTTTTGACCTTGTTTTTGTCGTTTGATGTCCTCTTTTTATTGCCCTTTTTTGGATTTTTGATTTTTCGCTTTGTTTTTGTTTTTTTTTTCGCTTTTTTTTTGTCTGTTGGGGGTTTTTCAGGTTTTTTTAACCTTTCTTTCGTCGTCACTTTATTCCTTTTTTTCGCCTTGTAGTCGCTTTTTTGCGTTTTCCATTTTTTTTTTTTTTGGAGTTTTTGTCTTATTTTCCACGTTCTTTTGTTCTCTTCTTTTTATCGCATTTTGCCTCCTCTCTTTTATTAGTTTTGTCGCTTTTTTTTTCTTCTATTTTTTGGTACTTGTTGGCGCCTTTTTCCGCTTATTTTTTCTCTTCCTTCACTTTTTTTGTTCTGTTTTCCTTTGCCCTTTTTGTGCTTTTGGCGTTGTTTTTTACCTGTTTTTGGCCATTTGTGTCAAATTTTTCGCTTTTTGTCGTTTTTTCTTACTGAATCTTTTGGGCATTTTTGGTGACTTTTAGCCTCTGTTTTGTTATTTAATCTGTTTTTTTTTCGCTTTTTTTCCACATTTTTTGTTGTTTTCTTGCCGCCTTTTTTATCGCCCTTTGCGTGGCTTTTTTTTTGTTCCTTTTTTATCGCCCATTATGTTTTTTTTTGGTGAATTTTTGGCACTTTCATCATACATTTTTTTTTCTCGTTTGTTTACCTCCGTTTTGGCTTTTCTGTCTTCTTTTTATCGCCTTTTTTTCTTTTAAAAATGTAAAACTTTCTCGGGGGCGCCAAATGTCTTTTTTTAAGAATGTGAAACTTTTTTGCGGGTCCCAACTGTCTTTTTTAAGAACGTAAACCCCCCCCCCCCCTCCCGAGAAGGTTTTACATTTTATATATGACATTTGGCGCCCATGAGAAGGTTTCACATTAAAAAAAAGACGATTGGGACCCCCGAGAAGGTTTTAAATTTCTAAAAAAGACAGTTAGGACCCCCGAGTGGGCTTCACATTCTTAAAAAAAGATATTTGGCGCCCCCGAGAAGATTTTACATTTTTAAAAAAGACAGTCGGGACCCCGAGAAGGTTTTACATTAAAAAAAGATACATTTGGCGCCCCTGAGAAGGTTTGACATTTAAAAAAATAAACGATTGAGACCCCCGAGAAGGTTTTACATTTTTAAAAAAGACATTTGGGACCCCCGAGAAGGTTTTACATTTTTAAAAAAGACACCAAATATCTTTTTTTAAGAATGTGAAACCTTCTCGGGGGTGCCAAATGTCTTTTTTAGAAATTTAAAACCTTCTCGGGGGTCCCAATCGTCTTTTTTTTTTAATGTGAAACCTTCTCATGGGCGCCAAATGTCATATATAAAATGTAAAACCTTCTCGGGAGGGGGGGGGGGGGCAAATGTCTTTTTTTAAACAATATGAAACCTTCTCGGAGGACCCAACTGTTTTTTTAAGAATATTAAATCTTGTCGAGTGCCCCAAATGTCTTTTTTTTAAGAATGGGAAACCTTCTCGGGGGTCCCAATTGTCTTTTAAAAATGTGACACCTTCTCGGGGGTCCCAAATGTCGTTTTTAAAAATGTAAAACCTTCTCGGGGGTCCCAAATGTCTTTTTTAAAAATGTAAAACCTTCTCGGGGGTCTCAATCGTTTATTTTTTTAAATGTCAATCAAACCTTCTCAGGGGCGCCAAATGTATCTTTTTTTTAATGTGAACCTTCTCGGGGACCCCAACTGTCTTTTTTAAAAATGTAAAACCTTCTCGGGGGGCCCAATCGTCTTTTTTTTAATGTAAAACCTCTGGGGTCCAAATCGTTTTTTTTTTTTAATGTGAAACCTTCTCGGGGGCGCCAAATGTCTTTTTTAAAAATTTGAAACTTTCTCGCGGGTCCTAACTGTCATTTTGAAAAATATAGAACCTTCTCGGAGGCCCCAAATGGATTTTTTCATGTGAAACCTTCTCGATGGTCCCCATTGTCTTTTTTAAAAGTGTAAAACCTTCTCGGGGGCGCCAAATGTTTTTTTTTTTAAGTAAAACCTTCTCGGGGGCCCCAAATGTATTTTACCAAGAATGTGAAACCCCCTCGAGGTCTCAATTTTCTTTTTTAAAAATATAAAACCTTCTCGGTGGCGTCAGATGTCTTTTTTTAAGAATGTGAAACCTTCTCGGGGGTCTCGTACCATCCCTTCAAATGGCGCAGAAATCCTAAAACTATTTAAAATAGTCTTTGATTAATGCTGTTCTCGCACGACATGCTACATCGAAATTTTTCCAAAAAAACTTACTTTTAAAAATAAACAACACATTCACTTGTGCAGAAAAAGCAACAAGAACTTTCATTTTCACCCCACGAGGTACAAAAAAACCCCAAAAACACCCTAATTCGATTAATGCTGTTCTCACACGACATGCAACCTTCCAGGACATCTGCCGCTGCTGCGTCTTCTACGCCGAACGTATGTCCATGCGAGTCGACGGAATGGGCGACAAAGACAACATCTACGAAAAAAAATTCGAAGTAACCAACGAATGGTGCTTAGCCATCAACAACATCGAGTACGTCAGACAATCCCTCCAACCTTTCACCCAAGAACTCGGCATGAAAGAAGTCATCGAGAAGCTATCCGACTTGAAGAGCGCCATCGAGGCCAAACGGTGCCAAGACACCCTCAACAACGTCATCGCCAACGCAATCGACACCGTCCGGAACGAGATCATCGCGCTGCTGGAAACCGTCGTCAAGAAGGTCGGTCAAAAAACGACTGTCACGGTGTTTATTAACCAGTGTCGTTTTCAGATGGTGCCCTCCATGAAGCGCCTGCTCATCGAAGGCGCCGAACTCTTCAACCAAGACAGCAACAGCATCGACCGGTTGATGCTCTACGTCGACAACAACTTGACGACGCTGAACAACGAGCTGAACGAGGAGAATTTCAACAGGATCGTGGAGATCGTGTGGGAGAACGTGGGGGAGATCTTGGACGAGATCATCACCTCGAGTGTGGAGAAGCGACGGCCGCCTTCGTTCTTCGCCAACCTCCACAAGACGCTCAACCTCATGATGGGGTCGTTCAAGAACTCCACACTGGACTGCGTCAACCTCCAGAGGACTGAGATGCGGTTGAAGGTCAACGGGCTGGAAACCAACGACTTGATCCACCAAGTGCACCTGGACTTGTACCAGGAGTTCAGGAATCTGGAGGAGTCGAGGTTCGGAGAGGTTTGTGTGAGGACGAAGTTCGAAGACAACAACACTTTGAAGGTGTCGGTGGTCAATGCCAGGAATTTGATCGCGATGGATTCGAACGGAAGCAGCGACTCCTTCGTCCGGATTCACCTCCTTCCGGAGCACAAGTTTATCGGGATTCCGAAGCCCAAGACGCAGACTCACCACAGGACGCTGTTTCCGTTGTACGAAGAGGATTTTGTGATGTGAGTAAAGAGTGGAAATTGTAACGTGATTGATTTTGATTTTGTTGTAGAAATTTACCGGAAGACTATAAAGACGTGGAAGACGGACTTGTTCTTTTTAGTGTTAAAGACAAAGATTTGTTGGGATACAACAATCAGTATATAGGGGAGGCTTTTGTGCATTTTAAGGACGTGGACGTCTCGGCTACGCCTCTGACTGATTTGACCCCAGTGTACTTGCCTTTGATCCGGCCTTCTAATTTAAGTAAGTGTTGAAGACTTGAGGTGGAGAGTTTGTAAGAGTTGGGTTTTAGGTACTGATGCCATTACGGCCTTGGAGACTAGACAGGGTGATAAGTTGGCCAAGGAGTTTCTAAGGAAGTTCAAGCAGAGGATGGGGACGTGAAAAAGACTGTTGTGAATGTTTTATTGTGATGATCGGTATTTTTATGTATTGTGATTAAATATTACCATTTTAGTATTGCAAGTTTTTTATTTTTCCCACTGCAACATTCGTGGTAAATCGCTACGAAAATCATGTTATACATTTATGAGGATATTCCGCGATCGAGGTTTTTCTGGAATTCTCATCACGACTTTCGCTTCCAGGCTTTTCTTTAGCGTCCGGCTGCCGTAAATACTAGAAAACCCTCGAGAAAACTCATGGGCGTCGTACCGGGGCGGCCAATGGGTTTATTTCGTAACACTGCTCCTCCTTAGTTCCGTCAGTGTCAGATCATAGATGGATTATATATACGTTAAGATGTATAGACATAGAGACCAAGACGTACAAGACCCCTAGGCTGATGAACTGGGCTTTATACAACGAAGAACTGGAAAACACTGAAGACTTCTGTACAGTCAATACCAATGGAATATAAATTGACAGAATCGTGTGGCGGCAAATTTAAAATTATGGCAGTCAACAATAATACCCATAAGCGCGTTCTAGCACAAGCGATGTTTGAAGCTCCTGGTCGGGGCTGTTCTCCCCCGCGACGGTGATTCTATCTATCGCACGGCAGGTATATCTGTAATAATTTCACTGAAACTGAAAATGTTGATAAATGCTGCGTTGTGTCGTTTTCCAGGAAAATATGCAAGATCATATATAATTACAACATAAATAATAGGAGTATTATAATAACAAAAAAATCTACTGTTAAAGCATTGGTTGTCACATTTGACTCTGAACTGACATTTATTGCACATCAACAACATTTGTAATGAAGCTGTTATGTTGTTAAGATTTATAACCAGAAATACAAAAGACTTTCGGAACATTGAGTTAATGTTCCTACGTAAAAGTCTGGATATATATTTCAACATTTAATATTGTGTTTTTTAGAACCAAATATTTTATGAACCCATTTGTTGATTATACAGAGTCATCAAAGTTGATCAAACGAAGCCGAAAATGACTTCTGGATGTCGAAATCTACAAGAAAATGTCTAGCTCAATCTCGAAAATGGTTGAAAATGTCAAGTGTCAAAATCAGTCATGTCTTGGAAAATGCTAGCCCCGCCCACCCGCCCTTTGTTTTCTTAGGAATTAAGTCATTTGCCAAAAACAGTCTTATTTTAGCAAGTACTAGCCCCGCCCACCCCCACTTTTTTCATTGTAACGACTAATAGTATTTTTGTTCAATAGAAGATCCTTCATTTCATTCAGAGTGGATAAAATTAATCACTGAAATCAAGGCAGGGTAGGTGGGCGGGGCTAGTTATATTTTCCTAAGGAGTGGGAGTGGGAACTAATAGAATATAGCATGTGAAAAAAGGAAAAAAAGCGCTAATCGTAATTTTTTTGGTATACTATGTGCTATAAAATAAAATTCTTATTTCGTTGACATGAGATGACGTGAACTTTTTAAAATATTGTGAAAATTGCCATATTTCGTTTGGAGATTCTGGAAAATCGGTAGGAATTTCCGAAAAAAAGGAAGCCGGAAATGATTTCTGGATGTCGAAATCTACAAGAAAATGTCTAGAGCTCAATCTCGAAAATGGTTGAAAATGTCAAAAGTGTCAAAATCAGTCATATCTTAGAGAATGCTAGCCCCGCCCACCCGCCCTTTGTTTTCTTGGAAAATAAGTCATTTGCCAAAAACAGTCTTATCTTAGCAATTACTAGCCCCACCACCCCCACTTTTCTCATTCTAACGACTAATAGTATTTTTGTTCAATAGAAGATCATTAATTTCATTCAGAGTGGATAAAATTAATCACTGAATTGACGACAGGGTGGGTGGGCGGGGCTAGTTATATTTTCCTAGGGAGTGGCAGTGGGAACTAATAAAACATAGGATGTGAAAAAAGGAAAAAAAAGCGCTAATCTTATTTTTTTTGTTATACTATGTGCTATAAAATTAAATTCTTATTTCGTTGACTTGAGATGACGTGAACTTTATAAAAAATTGTGAAAATTGCCAAAAGATTCTGGAAAATCGGTAGGAATTTCCGAAAAAAAGGAAACCGGAAATGATTTCTGGATGTCGAAATCTACAAGAAAATGTTTAGCTCAATCTCGAAAATGGTTGAAAATGTCAAAAGTGTCAAAATCAATCATATCTTAGGAAATGCTAGCCCTGCCCACCCGCCCTTTGTTTTCTTGGAAAATAAGTCATTTGCCAAAAACAGTCTTATTTTAGCAAGTGCTAGCCCCGCCCACTCCCACTTTTTTCATTCTAACGACTAATAGTATTTTTGTTCAATAGAAGATCATTCATTTCAATCAGAGTGGATAAAATTAATCACTGAAATCAAGGTAGGGTGGGTGGGCGGGGCTAGTTATATTTTCCTAAGGAGTGCCAGTGGGAACTAATAAAACATAGGATGTGAAAAAAGGAAAAAAAAGCGCTAATCTTAATTTTTTTTGTTATACTATGTGCTATAAAATTAAATTCTTATTTCATTGACATGAGATGACGTGAACTTTTTAAAAAATTGTGAAAGGTGTCAATACAACTAAAGATTCTGGAAAATCGGTAGGAATTTCCGAAAAAAAGGAAGCCGGAAATGACTTCTGGATGTCGAAATCTACAAGAAAATGTCTAGCTCAATCTCGAAAATGGTTGAAAATGTCAAGTGTCGAAATCAGTTATATCATAGGGAACGCTAGCCCCGCCCGCCCACCCTTTGTTTTCTTGGAAAATAAGTCATTTGCCAAAAACAGTCTTATTTTAGCAAGGACTAACCCCGCTCACCCCCACTTTTTTCATTCCAAAGACGAATAGTATTTTTGTTCAATAGAAGATCATTCATTTCATTCAGACTAGATAAAATTAATCACTGAAATCAAGGTAGGGTGGGTGGGCGGGGCTAGTTATATTTTCCTAAAGAGTGCCAGTGGGAACTAACAGAATATAGGATGTAAAAAAAGGACAAAAAAAGCGCTAATCTTATTTTTTTTTTGTTATACTATTTGCTATAAAATTAAATTCTTATTTCGTTGACTTGAGATGACGTAAACTTTTTAAAAAATTGTGAAAAGTGTCAATTCAATTAGAGATTCTGGAAAATCGGTAAGAATTTCCGAAAAAAAGGAAACCGGAAATGACTTCTGGATGTCGAAATCTACAAGAAAATGTCTAGCTCAATCTCAAAAATGGTTGAAAATGTCAGGTGTCAAAATCAATCATATCTTAGAAAATGCTAGCCCCACCCACCCGCCCATTGTCTTCTTAGAAAATAAGTCATTTGCCAAAAATAGTCTTATCTTAGCAAGTACTACCCCGCCCACCCCCACTTTTTTCATTCTAACGACTAATAGTATTTTTGTTCAATAGAAGATCATTCATTTCATTCAGAGTGGATAAAATTAATCACTGAAATGAAGACAGGGTGGGTGGGCGGGGCTAGTTATATTTTCCTAAGGAGTGGCAGTGGAAACTAATAAAACATAGGTGTGAAAAAAGGAAAAAAAAGCGCTAATCTTATTTTTTTTTTATACTATGTGCTATAAAATTAAATTCTTATTTCGTTGACATGAGATGACGTGAACTTTTTAAAAATTGTGAAAATTGCCATATTTCATTTGGAGATACTGGAAAATCGGTAGGAATTTCCGAAAAAAAGGAATCCGGAAATGACTTCTGGATGTCGAAATCTACAAGAAAATGTCTAGCTGAATCTCGAAAATGGTTGAAAATGTCAAAAGTCTCAAAATCAGTCATATCTTAGGAAATGCTAGCCCCGCCCACCCGCCCTTTGTTTTCTTGGAAAATAAGTCATTTGCCAAAAACAGTCTTATCTTAGCAAGTACTAGCCCCGCCCACCCCCACTTTTCTCATTCTAACGACTAATTGTATTTTTGTTCAATAGAAGATCATTCATTTCAATCAGACTAGATAAAATTAATCACTGAAATGAAGGCAGGGTGGGTGGGCGAGGCTAGTTATATTTTCCTAAGGAGTGGCAGTGGGAACTAATAGAATATAGGATGTGAAAAAAGGAAAAAAAGCGCTAATCGTAATTTTTTTGATATAATATTTGCTATAAAATTAAATTCTTATTTCGTTGACATGAGATGACGTGAACTTTTTAAAAAATTGTGAAAATTGCCATATTTCGTTTGGAGATTCTGGAAAATCGATAGAAATTTCCGAAAAAATGGAAGCCGGAAATGACTTCTGGATGTCGAAATCTATAAGAAAATGTCTAGCTCCATCCCAAAAATGGTTGAAATTGTCAAAAGTGTCAAAATCAGTCATATCTTAGGAAATGCTAGCCCCGCCCACCCGCCCTTTGTTTTCTTGGAAAATAAGTCATTTGCCAAAAACAGTCTTATCTTACCAAGCACTGGCCCCGCCCACTCCCACTTTTCTCATTCTAACGACTAATAGTATTTTTGTTCAATAGAAGATCATTCATTTCATTCTGACTAGATAAAATTAATCACTGAAATCAAGGCAGGGTGGGTGGGCGGGGCTAGTTATATTTTTCTAAGGAGTGGCAGTGGGAACTAATGGAATATAGAATGTGAAAAAAGAAAAAAAAACGCTTATCTTATCTTTTTTGTTATACTATGTGCCATAAAATTAAATTCTTATTTCGCTGACACGAGATGACGTGAACTTTTTAAAAAATTGTGAAAATTGCCATATTTCGTTTGGAGATTCTGGAAAATCGGTAGGAATTTCCGAAAAAAAGGAAGCCGGAAATGACTTCTTAATGTCGAAATGTAAAAGAAAATGTCTAGCTCAATCTCGAAAATGGTTGAAAATGTCAAGTGTCGAAATCAGTCATATGTTAGGAAATGCCAGCCCCGCCCACCCGCCCTTTGTTTTCTTGGAAAATAAGTAATTTGCCAAAAACAGTCTTATCTTAGCAAGTACTAGCCTCGCCCACCCCCACTTTTTTCATTCTAACGACTAATAGTATTTTTGTTCAATAGAAGATCATTCATTTCATTCATAATGGATAAAATTAATCACTGAAATCAAGGCAGGGTGGGTGGGCGGGGCTAGTTATATTTTCCTAAGGAGTGGCAGTGGGAACTAATAAAACATAGGATGTGAAAAGAGGAAAAAAAGCGCTAATCTTTTTTTTTTTGTTATACTATGTGCTATAAACTTAAATTCTTATTTCGTTGACATGAGATGATGTGAACTTTTTAAAAAATTGTGAAAATTGCCATATTTCGTTTGGAGATTCTGGAAAATCGGTTGGAGTTTCCGAACAAAAGGAAGCCGGAAATGATTTCTGGATGTCGAAATCTACAAGAAAATGTCTAGCTCAGTCTCGAAAATGGTTGAAAATGTCAAAAGAATCAAAATCAGTCATATCCTAGGAAATTCTAACCCCGCCCACCCGCCCTTTGTTTTCTTGGAAAATAAGTCATTTGCCAAAAGCAGTCTTATCTTAGCAAGTACTAGCCCCGCCCACCCCCACTTTTCTCATTCTAACGACTAATTGTATTTTTGATCAATAGAAGATTATTCATTTCATTCAGACTGGATAAAATTAATCACTGAATTCAAGGCAGGGTGGGTAGGCGGGGCTAGTTATATTTTCCTAAGGAGTGGCAGTGGGAACTAATAAAACATAGGATGTGAAAAGAGGAAAAAAAAGGCGCTAATCTTTTTTTTTTTTTGTTATACTATGTGCTATAAAATTAAATTCTTATTTCGTTGACATGAGATGACGTGAACTTTTTAAAAAATTGTGAAAATTGCCATATTTCGTTTGGAGATACTGGAAAATCGGTAGGAATTTCCGAAAAAAAGGAATCCGGAAATGACTTCTGGATGTCGAAATCTACAAGAAAATGTCTAGCTCAATCTCGAAAATGGTTGAAAATGTCAAAAGTGTCAAAATCAGTCATATCTTAGGAAATGTTAGCCCCGCCCACCCACCCTTTGTTTTCTTGGAAAATAAGTCATTTGCCAAAAACAGTCTTATCTTAACAAGTACTAGCCCCGCCCAATCGCACTTTTTTCACTCTAACGACGAATAGTATTTTTTTTCAATAAAAGATCATTCATTTCATTCAGACTGGATAAAATTAATCACTGAAATGAAGGCAGGGTGGGTGGGCGGCGCTAGTTATATTTTCCTAAGGAGTGGCAGTGGGAACTAATAGAATATCGGATGTAAAAAAAAGGAAAAAAAAAGCGCTAGTCTTATTTTTTTTAGTTATACCATTTGGTATAAAATTAAATTCTTATTTCGTTGACTTGAGATGACGTAAACTTTTTAAAAAATTGTGAAAAGTGTCAGTTCAATTAGAGATTCTGGAAAATCGGTAGGAACTTCCGAAAAAAAGGAAGCCGAAAATGCCTTCTGGATGTCGAAATCTACAAGAAAATGTCTAGCTCAATCTCGAAAATGGTTGAAAATGTCAAAAGTGTCAAAATCAGTCATTCCTAGGAAATGCTACCACCGCCCACCCGCCCTTTGTTTTCTTGGAAAATAAGTAATTTGCCAAAAACAGTCTTATCTTAGCAAGTAATAGCCCCCCCCCCCCACCCCCACTTTTCTCATTCTAACGACTAATTGTATTTTTGATCAATAGAAGATCATTCATTTCATTCAGACTAGAAAAAATTAGTCACTGAAATGAAGGCAGGATGGGTGGGCGGGGCTAGTTATATTTTCCAAAGGAGTGGCAGTGGGAACTAATAGAATATAGGATGTAAAAAAAGGAAAAAAAGCGCCAATCTTATTTTTTTTTTGTTATACTATGTGCTATAAAATTAAATTCTTATTTCGTTGACATGAGATGACGTGAACTTTTTAAAAAATTGTGAAAATTGCCATATTTCATTTGGAGATTCTGGAAAATCGGTAGAAATTTCCGAAAAAAACAAGCCGAAAATGACTTCTGGATGTCGAAATCTACAAGAAAATGTCTAGCTCAATCTCGAAAATGGTTGAAAATGTCAAAAGTGTCGAAATCAGTTATACCTTAAAAACGCAAGCCCCGCCCACCCACCCTTTGTTTTCGTGGAAAATAAGTCATTTGCCAAAAACAGTCTTATCTTACTAGCCCCGCCCACCTCCACTTTTCTCATTTTAACGACTAATAGTATTTTTGTTCAATAAAAGATCAGTCATTTCATTCAGACTGGATAAAATAAATCACTGAAATGAAGGCAGGGTGGGTAGGCGGGGCTAGTTATATTTTCCTAAGAAGTGGCAGTGGGAACTAATAAAACACAGGATGTGAAAACAGGAAAAAAGCGCTAATCGTAATTTTTTTGGTATACTATGTGCTATAAAATTAAATTCTTATTTCGTGGACTTGAGATGACGTAAACTTTTTAAAAAATTTTGAAAAGTGTCAATTCAATTAGAGATTCTGGAAAATCGGTAGGAATTTCCGAAAAAAAGGAAGCCGGAAATGACTTCTGGATGTCGAAATCTACAAGAAAATGTCTAGCTCAATCTCAAAAATGGTTGAAAATGTCAAAAGTGTCAAAATCAATCATATCTTAGAGAATGCTAGCCCCGCCCACCCGCCCTTTGTTTTCTTGGAAAATAAGTCATTTGCCAAAAACAGTCTTATTTTAGCAAGTACTAACCCCGCCCACCCCCACTTTTTTCTTTCTAACGACGAATAGTATTTTTGTTCAATAGAAGATCAGTCATTTCATTCAGACTAGATAAAATTAATCACTGAAGTCAAGGTAGGGTGGGTGGGCGGGGCTAGTTATATTTTCCTAAGGAGTGCCAGTGGGAACTAATAGAATATAGGATGTAAAAAAAGGACAAAAAAGCGCTAACCTTATTTTTTTTTGTTATACTATTTGGTATAAAATTAAATTCTTATTTCGTTGACTTGAGATGACGTAAACTTTTTAAAAAATTGTGAAAAGTGTCAATTCAATTAGAGATTCTGGAAAATCGGTAAGAATTTCCGAAAAAAAGGAAACCGGAAATGACTTCTGGATGTCGAAATCTACAAGAAAATGTCTAGCTCAATCTCAAAAATGGTTGAAAATGTCAAGTGTCAAAATCAATCATATCTTAGAAAATGCTAGCCCCACCCACCCGCCCATCGTTTTCTTAGAAAATAAGTCATTTGCCAAAAACAGTCTTATCTTAGCAAGTACTACCCCGCCCACCCCCACCTTTTTCATTCTAACGACTAATAGTATTTTTGTTCAATAGAAGGTCATTCATTTCATTCAGAGTGGATAAAATTAATCACTGAATTGAAGACAGGGAGGGTGGGCGGGGCAACTTATATTTTCCTAAGGAGTGGGAGTGGGAACTAATAGAAAATGGGATTTGAAAAAAGTAAAAAAAAGCGGTGATGTAATGAGGATAACGATGCTAATAACGTTGATAACTGCCTAAGGGAAGAAATTATTTTAATCCGCCGCCAGTTCACAGTATAGTGAATTTTGTTAAAAGTGTGGCATAATTTAACATCATGAAAATTCTTTGTTTGAATTAACCTCATGTAATTTTTTTAGCTTTGTAATTTTTCACCTCATGCAATTTCGTTACTTCATTCGTTACCTATTGGTGTTAACTGACAACATAACACAAGCAGACACTCGCTTTTTCATCTAATCGCAGTAGAACATTCAATTTTAATGAGATTTTAGTAATAAGAATGCATTAAAATTTACGGGCACCGATTACTGAGTGAGGTAGCGGGTGACGGGCTCCCAGGACGTATCACGATGTGTAATCGGAGATGTCTCCTTTGACGGGGTCGCGCACTACGATTAAGAATTTCGTGGAATTTGGGTTGCTTAGTGATTTCTGAGTGAGAATAGAGGAATAATTTAATTTCATTGTGACACTTGATTTTCCATGGCTAATCCACAGACGTGATCGTCGAACTGAGACGGCCTAATTTCAAAATACGAGTTTGAAAGCATTTTTATAGTGAATCGGTGCGATGCAACATTTTTTTTTTTAATTGAAACAACTACTTGATTACATCTAAAGCGACTTTAAAACAACAATTAGAATACTAAACCGACTTAACATCGTTTATTTTGATAAAATATTAAGGTAAATTTGTGCTAAATTAACAAGATCACATTCATAGAGAAATATATTCGTAAAAATTGACTTATACTGTTTCCGCTAATTTTCTTAAAAAAAAAAACAAACATGTACGTGTCGAACTAGTTAGACGAAATAAACATGTTACTTATTAATTATTATTTTATTACATACTAACTAGTCTGATGAAGATTTTGCAGAAATTACATCTTTCAGAAAACCGTTTCACCTGTAAAGAAAAACACTTCTGATGTAATTTCTCCCTATTGTTACAAACCCGTCCAATTAACATTTTTCTTAATCACCATGACTATGCAGTTATCCATTTAACGTCCGACGAAAGCATGCAAAACAACAACAAAAGTCAACGTCGCCTCAATTCCTCGAACACCTTTCTTCCTAGAACCAAACCCAAGAAAATTTTCCACTATTAAAAAAAATCCGTCCGTTTCCACCCGCACTCGGCGCCTCTGACCTCACCGGGGTCAACGCTTGTGATGACTGCTAATACTCCATTATCAAGGTGTGTCTGTTTATATTAATTTCAGTGTCAATGTGAAGGCCACTTTACCGAACGCAGATATTGTTAAAATCGAAGGATTTTTTCGGCCCCCACTTCGCCTCGGCCTTATCACTACTAACACCTTTCACGTCAAACCGAGCCGTCATAGGTGATAAGATTTGTGGCTCGATTAACATTTAAAATTCCCCACCAACCCACTCTAGAACAACGTCGAGCTTTTGCTGATAAAGTCGCTCAAACCTTTGCTAGTTGTCATCTTAAAATAGCCTCTCAGTTGGTGATTTGCCAGCAGATGAACTGTCTTTTGCACTACCTCATCCTCAAGCAAAAATTCACTTGATAATGCAGCACTGCTCCAATCATACGCAAGAAATCACTTCAGTGTTCGTCGAGATGGTGGCAGCCGGAGCGGACGAAGCCACTTTTGGCGGAGTCGCCGAGGGGTTGGGACGCATGTTCTACGTGGTGGACCCGGCAAAAACGTCGTTCGAGAGTCCTGAAGACGTCCCGAATTTTTACCGAAACGTGAGTGACTGACGTTTGTTTATGTTGGCTTATCGCGTGTTCGGTTTAAGTAAACACGAGTGTGTTAATTGAATAATTCGCAGGGACGGACTCGGAGTTTTAATTGTGAGTAGAGTAGGTTAATAATAGGGTTGACGTCACGCTGGCGCGCTTTCTCTCGACCAACCACAATCGCGTGTTTGAAATTCGAATTTGGCGCCACTTCGAATTAGGACACCCTCTTTATCACTTTAACGACGACAAGCAAAACCCATTTATGCGACATTAATTCACATATTAAAGTACAAGCTCACATTAGCCGGGAAAATCCGCAAGAGGCTTAATTCGAGCGACGAAATTAAAACGTCAGTTTTCATCCGAGTTGGCTGGCTTTCAGCAACCCTTGTCCTAAAAAATATTTATAATCTTTCTTGCTTACGCTTAGAGGCTAAGATGTTCAGTGGGATTTAATGGAGTTCAAACGAGAGTCGTAAAATTGTAGAGTTTTCTTGGTGCTCGAGGCAACTGTTTAAACTTTAGTACCGAAGGATTGTCTTGCGGTTGTTTTTCTCGGCGTGGAAATAACTGGATAATTGTGTCTGGTGATGCGAACAAAGTTCACGAGGAAAGTAGATGTTTAGATGCATTTTAATGAGGTTTGTTGAATTTCGTAACGAATAAAGTGTGGGGTAATTTTTTAACTGTTTTTTAATTAACGCACGGTTTTCAAGAGGTTTCACTGAAATTAAGTGGGTTTTGTTGCGTGTGTTTACGTTTACACACGTGCTAAGGTAATTATGTGGTGTTATTGTTTTGTTTTAAGTAGGTTAATGATGACGGTGACGTCACGATTTCGCGGTTTTTCAAATTCCGACGAATCAGAATTAGGTATTTGAATTTTAAATTTGACGTAACTGTAATGTAATGCTGTCACTATTGGACTGATAACTGAAAACTTGTTAATAAAACCGAAACCGACTTTTGTTTATTACTATTTTTCTGTTTTTTTAACTTCTTTTTCAGTTTTTCGTTTGTCCACCTTTATTTTTAGTCGCTTTGTTTGTTACTATTTTCTCTCTTTTTTTGACGTTTTTTTTGTTTTTTGTCGTCGTTTTTTCGGCCACTTTTTCGACCATTTTTTTCACCTCTTGTTACTTGCATTTTTCCTTTTTTCTCACTCTTGTTTTTTTTTGATCGCCTTTCTTTGGTTATTACTATTTTTCTTTTTTTCTCACCTTTTTTGTTTGTTATTATTTTTCTCTTTTTTTAAGGTTTTTTGTCTATTTTTTGTGACTTTGTTTGTTTGACTTCTTTTTTTGACGTTTTTTGTTGTTTTTTGTCGTCTCTTTTGGCCACTTTTTTCGACCCTTTTTTTTCCGATTTTTTTATTTTTTTTTGTTTATCCACCACTTTTTGTCACTCTTTTTTTGTCGTTTTTTGATGCTTTTCTTGACCTCTTTTTTGACGTTTTTTTTTGTTGTTTTCTGTGTCTTTTTTTGGCCACTTTTTCGACCTTTTGTTTTCACCTCTTGTTACTTGCATTTTTCCTTTTTTTTTCGATGGTTTTTTGTTTATCTATCACTTTTTTTGTTGTGTTTTGGCGCTTTTCCTGACCTCTTTTTTGTCGTTCTTTTCCTTGCAATTTTGTTTAGGTTTTTTGGTGGTCTCCTTTTAATTTTTGTCCTTGTTTGTCGCTTTTTTGTTTTTATGGCCCTTTTTTCGCTCTTTTTGTTTGTTACTATTTATTACAATTTTTTGCGGCTTTTTTCCAGACCTATGTTGGTGTTTTGACGCCTTTTTGTTTTTTTTTTGTGACGCGTTCCTTTTTATTTTAGTTTTTTTTGTCGTATTTATTGTTACTTTTTTCAGTTTTTTTGTTACTTTTTTCTCCCTTTTTTTGAAGCTTTTTCTCCACCATTTTTTCTCTACTTTTTCTCACTCTTGTTTTTTTTTGGTCGCCTTTCTTTTTTTTCTCACCTTTTTTTGTTTGTTATTATTTTTCTCTTTTTTTAAGGTTTTTTGTCTATTTTTTGTGACTTTTTTTGTTTGACTTCTTTTTTTGACGTTTTTTTGTTTTTTGTCGTCTCTTTTGGCCACTTTTTTCGACCCTTTTTTCCGATTTTTTTATTTTTTTTTTGTTTATCCACCACTTTTTTGTCACTCTTTTGTTTGTCGTTTTTTGATGCTTTTCTTGACCTCTTTTTTGGCGTTTTTTCCTCATCATTCTTTTTAGGATTTCTGTCGTCTTCTTTTAGTTTTTGTCCTTTGTCGCTTTTTTTGTTTTTATCACTCTTTTTTGGTTTTTTTGTTTGTTACTATTATTTACGGTTTTTTTGGCGCTTTTAACCAAACCTTTGTCGGTTTTTTGACGCGTTTTTTGTTTGTCAACTTTTTTTGTCACTCCTTTTATTTTTTTTAGTTTTTTGTCGAATTTCTTGTTCCTTTTTTCAGTCTTTTTTGTTTCTCATTTTTGTTCTTATTTTGTCGCTTTTCGCTATTCTTTTCGAGTTTTTGTTTGTTACTATTTATTTTTTGACTCTTTTTTTTGGCGCTTTTTGACGCTTTTTTTTGTCCTTTTTTTCTATTCTTTGTTGTTTTTTTTACCCTCTTTTTTATGGTCCTTTTTTCCGATTCTTGATTATCACTATTTCTATTCTATTTTGACATATTTTGACGACTTCTCGGAAATTTTTTTTGCCGTTTTTTTACACCTTTTTTATTTGTTCTCCTTGTTCTGCCTTTTTTTTGTTTTGTAGTCTTTTTGATCGCATTTCTGCTTTTTTTGACTCTTTTTTTTAAATGGCAAGTTTTATCGTTTAATGTTTGTCATTATTTTTTACTGTTTTTGTTTTCTTTTTTACTTTTTCTCGTAATTTTTGGTTTTCTTTGACGCCTTTGTGTTTTTTCGCTTTCTTTTTACCTTCCTTCTTTTTTTTTTGTTGGTTATTTGTCGACTTTTTTTGGCGACTTTCTTTCGACCCTTTTTTGCACTTTTTTTTCTTTTTTCCGAAATTTTGTTGATGCTTTTTTTGTTTTCCCACCACTTTTTTTCGTCATTTTTTTTGTTGTTTTTGGCGCTATTCTTGACCTCTTTTTTGACGTTTTTTTCGTCATTTTTTTACGATATTTTGATCGTCTCTTTTAGTTTTTGTCTTGTTTTTGGTACTTTTTCGTTTTTATGGTTCTTTTTTTCGTCTTTTTTGTTCGTTACGTTTTTTTTTTGGGGCATTTTTCTATATCTTCGTCGATTTTTTGACGCCTTTTTCGTTTGTCTACTTTTTTTTGTCACACCTTTTGTTATTTTTATCTTTTTCTTTACTTTTTTCTTGTGTTTCTTGCTCCTTTTTCAGTCTTGTTTGTTACTTTTTTTCTTCCTTTTATTGAAGCTTTTTTCCACCCTTTTTTCTCTACTTTCTTTGTATCTCCTTTTTTGTTGTTTATTTTGTCGCTTTTCGCTATTCTTTTCGATTTTTTCGTTGTTACTATTTATTTGAATTTTTTTGACTCCTTTTTCGGACTTTTTTGGCGCTTTTGTTTGGTGATTATTACTATTTTTCTTCTTTTTTCGCTTTTTTTTGACTCCATCGGCTCTTTTTCGTTTTTTGCTTGTTATTTTCTCTCTCTTTTGCGTGTTTTTTTTGTTTGACTTCCTTTTTTTGTTTTTTTGTCGTCTTTTTTTATGTTTTTTTTTGTTTATCCACCACTTTTTGTTGTTTTTCGGAACTTGTCTTGATCTCTTTTTTGTCGATTTTTCCTCGTCATTTTTTTTATGTTTTTTGGTCGTCTCCTTTTAGTTTTTCTCCTTTGTCACTTTTTTTGTTTTTATGACTTTTTTCGCTTTTTTTGTTTGTTACTATTGTTTCCTTTTTTTTGTGCTTTTAACCAGACCTTTGTCGGTTTTTTGACGCGTTTTTTGTTATTTTTTGTCGTTTTTCTTGTTCCTTTTTTCAGTCTTTCAAGTTTCTCCTTTGTTGTTATTTTGTCGCTTCTCCCTGTTCTTTTTGATTTTTTGTTTGTTACATTTTGTGGCGCTTTTTGACGCTTTTTGTTGGTGCTTTTTTTTCTCATTCTTTGTTGCTTATTTTTTATACCCTTTTTTTTATGGTCCTTTTTTCTGATTCTTGATTATTACTATTTTTCTTCTTTTTTTGACATATTTTGACGCCTTTATTGTTTGTTCATTGTTTTAGTTTTTATTTTGTCGTTTTTTGTCGCCTTTTTGTTACTTTTAACCTCATCCTTGTTGTTAATTTTTCATGCTTCTTTTAAGTTTATTTGTCCCTTTTTTCGTTTTTTAATGGCTTTTTTCAACGACTTCGTTACTATTTTTTTTGTGCTTTTTCTCGGAAATTTTTTCGGCGGCTTTTTGACGCCCTTTTTGTTTGTTCTCCTTGTTTTGTCTTTTTCTGTTTTTTCTTGTAGTTTTTTTGATCGCATTTCCGCTTTTTTTTTGAGTCATTTTTTAAATGGAAATTTTCATCGTTTTTTGTTTGTAATTATTTTTCAACATTTTTGTTTTCTTTTTTCACTTTTCTCTCGTGCTTTTTGTTTTTTTTTTGGCGCCTTCGTCTGTGTTTTTTTTACTGTATTTTTACCTTCCTTCTTTTTTTGTTGTTGTTTTTTGTCCACCTTTTCCGATCCTTTTTGGCACTTTGTTGTTACTCGAAGTTTTTTTCTTTTTTTCCGAACTTTTTTGATTTTGATTTCTTGACCTCTTTTTTCTTGTTTTTTTCCTCGTTATTTTTTTAGGTTTTCAGATTGTCTCTTTTTAGTTTTGGTTCTTTTTTCGCTTCTTTTTTTGCTACTATTTTTTCACGTATTCTTTAGTGCTTCTCTCTAAACCATCGTCGGTTTTTTGGCACCTTTTTTGTTTGTCCGCTTTTGTTTGTTACTCCTTTTGTTATTTTTATCTTTTTTCTTTAAGTTTGTTGTCGTGTTTCTTGTTCCTTTTTTCAGTCTTATTATTACTTTGTTTTCTACCCTTTTTGAAGCTTTTTCCACCCTTTTTTCTCTACTTTTTTGTATTTCCTTCTTTTTTGTTTTTATTTTGCCGCTTTTCGCTATTCTTTCGATTTTTTGTTTGTTACTATTTATTCTTATATTTTTGTCTCTTTCTGACGCCTTTTTTGTTTGTCCTTTTTTTTCCAATTCTTTTTTTTGTTGTTTTGTTTTTGTCGTTGTTGTTGGTCGCTTTTTTATTATCCATTTTTTTCGATTCTTGTTTGTTACCACTTTTCTTCCGTTTTTTGTTTTTTTTTTTTGACATATTTTGACGCCTTTTTTTGTCCACATTTTTTTGTCGTTATTTTGTTGTTTTTCGTCGCTTTTTCATTGCTTTTTTCCTCATCGTTTTTGTTAGTTTTTCGTTCTTCTTTTAAGTTTTTTTGTCCCTTTTTTGGCACTTTTTGCGGAACTTTTTTCATAAAAAAGATGATGCCTTTTTTGTTTGTTCTCCTTGTTTTTCCATTTTTTCTTTGTTACTATTTTCACCGTTTTTGTTTTTTTTTTTCGCTGTTTTATACTGATTTTTTGTTTTCTTTGGCGCCTTTATCTTTCTTCTTTCGCTTTTTTGGCGTTTTTTTATCGTTTTTTTTTCGACCATTTTTCTTGTTGTTTTTTTGAAGAATTTAAAAAGATTTTCAGGGACCCCCTAGTGGTGGGCTTTAAGGGTGTTTTTAAAGGATTTTAAAGAATCTGGGGAATCCAAGTGTTTTTTTTTTACGAATTTAAACGAATTTTCAGGACGAATTTAAAGGAGTATCGCGACTCTGTAGGACTTTAAAATTAATCTCAGGGGATCCTAGTGTTTTTTTTTTGAAGTATTTACAAGAATTTCCGGACCTTCGCCCTGTTTTTTAAATCTAAATGATGTCGTAACCCCCTAGTGTTTTTTAATAATTTAAAAGAATTTTGGGCGTCCCTAGTGTTTTTTTTTATTTTTTAAAAGAATGTCGGGCGACTTAAGTGTTTTTTTTTTGAAGAATGTAGAAGAATCTGAGGGAATCCTCGTGTTTTCGTGGTTTTTTGAGGAATTTAAAAGAATCTCCGAAGCCCCCTACTGTTTTTTTAATTTAAAAGAATCTCGGCGACGCCTAGTGAGTTTTTTGGAAGTATTAAAAAATCGGGGAAGACCCTAGTGGTTTTTTTTTATATTTTGAAAGAATGTCGGTGAACCCTAGTGTTTTTTTTTTAAGATTTTAAAATAATTTCCGTGGCTCTCAGTGTTTTTTTTTGGCGGAATTTAAAAAAATCTCGGAACACTAGCGTTTATAAAGATTTTAAAAGAATCTTGGGAACCCCTATAGTGTTTTTTTAAATAATTTGGGACAATGTTGGGGGTCATTTTTTTAATTAAATAATCTCGGAGCCCCTAGTGTTTTTTCACACAATTATTAAAGGAATTTAAAAGAACCAGAATTTTTCATGGGGTTTCTAGAATTTCAGAATTACCAGACCTTTCGCTCAGCTCCCAGCACAAACTCAGACAATAAAGTTTCTACTTTCGTCAATACTTGTTTATCATACAAATAAACCGAATTAAACCAGAAAAAAACACTGGAACAAACACGCAAATCAAACAAAACCACGTAACCGAAGAATGGAGAACTGGAAATCACAACCCGGAAGATGTCTCTATATTTTTCCGAAACGCGACGACATTTGTTTTGAGACGACGAACGTCAACACTGATAATCTGACCTTTTAATGAGTTAAATGAATAACGGTGTTTGTGTGAGAAAAGCAAATGTTTGCTTTGTTGTGGCGTATTATTTATTAACCTTTGGTGTCTGGTAAAGTGATTATTTTTTGCCTATCTGCATACAGGATTTTTTAACACTGGTTAGAAGAAACGAAAGCGTTTGTTTACGTTGTTAATTAATTGATTCATGTTTTCTAGAAAAATAAACCTTGTCACATTACGAGAGCTCCTATGTGATTTAAAGCATCATTTAGAAGGTTTTCCATTTCCGGATTCGGTCCGATTTTCTTCATTTCTTCGACACAGTTGTGTTTCAGTTTTGCTAGAGTTTGCAGTGTGTAGTCGAAACTTCCAAATTCTTGTAACAATTTAACAAAATGTAGTTTCAAATTTTGATCAGTTGTTCTTTGCTTGAGGATGTCTGGATACAGTTAAGGCTGCAATTTGTTTAGTTTAAACTAAAAAAAAACAATACCCTTAAGTCGATGATCTTCAGGACGCTTTCTTATTCCATGTATAACGGGAAAAGTAAATATCCCCTCTGTTATGTCGTCTCCGAAAGTTTTAAGGTCTGCGTACTACGAGCAAACAAATTTACAAGTGTCGCAAAATTTTGGACTTTCGTTACGCTGCGGGACGTCAGACTGATGTAGTCGTTGCAAATTTGGAAAAACAGTCCCAGTGTGACCAGAAATGGCTCAAAATCGCTTGTCTTATGGGTCCTAGCAAAAACTTGTTGCAGAAAAAACGAGAACGAAATAGCTGAAGTGGTTTCTACGAGTCGGTTTAGATACTTCTATGTAAAAAAATGTACATACTTTTGACTACCGTTTCCTGGTATTCTTTTTCCGAGGGGCAGATTCCATTTCTGGTGAAGTACATTTCCATGGCCTGCCCTTGGAACAAGTTTAAACCCAACGTGATAAAACCATCAATGACCTACAAACGGTTTCTTATGGCTTGTAACTTTCGAATTTCTTACCTTGAGCTCATCAAATTTTGCCATTGCGGAAATGGCACCATAAATGGACCCATAAATCGCTCGAGGGTTTCCATAGACTAAATGGGACGCCACAATTCCTCGACGAAGTTGCGCATTATCGGTCAAATCGTCAATTCTATAATAACATCACGTCCAATTTAATTTTTTTGTGGTTAAAATTTCACTTATTACAAATAAATCGCGGCTACTAATTTGTTTGCCAAGATGGTAATTTTTTTCAAATCGTCTTTGGGTACTTGAAACCAGTAGTTAGAGGCCGCCCAGATTTTCGCAATGAAGTCGTCCAAAGGTGGTAGTTGTTTGAAATGGTTGAAAGGTTGTAGAACAATCTTCTGAACAAAAAATTGGTCTAGTTTTTCTAGTCGAGCTTTACTTACTTCATCCTCTTGGTTGTTATACGTGTCTGTTTTTGACATTACTACTGTTGGTACTAAAGGTACTTAAAAAAATAAAACCAACATTCGTACCACTTGTCCATAAAACGAGTAATTTAAAGGTTAATTTTCATAATTATGCTTGTAGAGTAGATATTATCAGTAATTATAGACCATTAATTGTTAACCTTTGATACCCACTATCTGAACACTTGGTTTATTTTTACGTACACTGATATGAAAAAAACAAGTTTTTAGGTTAACTTTGATCAACATTTTAAGGAAAACCACAAGATGACATTCTTTCGATGCACAAACATAAATAAACACTTGAGCAAGTGTTGAAGGACAAAGGTTGTGAGAGATGGATTACTTTAAGTTCGACATGGTGAATCATCTGAATCTGACAACGGACGGTCAGTCAGTAGCGTAACATGCACACTTCAGAAAAGGGTGGTTTTAAATTAAATTTTTTAAATCGCAAACAATAATACACGGAAACATAAACTTAAGTGAATTGGTCACTATTAGGCACTATTCTAACCAGACACAGGTAGAAAAGTTTCCTATGACAGAGAAACGATGGATTTGTTGCATTGTTCTTCAGGAGCGAGGGAAGTTCTGTCGAAACAATTTTCGACCAATTTTTAATTTCTTGTAGAGAAATAAGGATTTTGCAGTTAAGCTCCGCCTTCTTGGCTCACGACGAATAAAAAAATCATCACAATTGAGATAGGGTGGGTGGGTGGGGCTTATATTTTTCCTTTTTTTTTTCTTAATATACATAGCTATATTTTCATAACAAGAGACTTAAAATATGGTTAAAGTCATTTGTGTTCTGTTTTGTATTAATTTTTGGAAATTTTTAGTCACAATTGGTGGTTCTCTATTTTTCATACTTTCACAGTTTTTGGATTTTTCGATATTTCAGTTTTTGAATTTTTCGATTTTTTGATTTGTCGGCTTTTCGATTTTGAACATCCGGTTCTTCAATTTTCCAATTTTTTCGAGTTTCGATTTCCCGATTGCTGATTTTTCAGTTTTTCGATTGTTCATTTTTCAGTTCTTCAATGTTTTTAATTTTTCAAATTTTGACATTTCTGTATTTTCAGTTTTCCGATTTCTCAGTTAATCTATTTTTTTTATTTTCCCATTTCTCAATTTCCCAAAGTTTCGATTTTTTAGTTCTTCATTTCTTCAATTTTTCAGGTTTTTGATTTTTGATTTTTCGAATTTTTCTTTTGTTTTTCAATTTTTCGATATTTCAGTTTTGGCATTTTTTAGTATTTCGATATTTCGATTCTTTAAATTCTGTTTTTCGATTTCTTGACTTTTACTTTTTGGATTTTCAATTTTTAGTGTTTTCAGTTCTTCTATATTTCAATTTTTCAATTTTCGGAATTTTTAAATTTTCAATTTTCCAATTTATTTTTTAATTTTTTGATTTTCCAATTTTTCGAACTTTCGAAATATAAATAGGCCAAAATCGAAAAATCCAGAAGACGAAAAATCAAAAAGTCGAAGAATCCAAGTATTGATAAATCCCAAAATTTAAAGAAACATCCAAAAATTTAGAAATTAAAAAATTGGAGAATTGTGAAATCGAAAAACCAAAAAACAAAGTCGAAAAAACGAAAAATCCAAGAATTAAAGAACTGAAAAATCGAAACTTTGAGAAGCCGAGAAATGGGAAAATCAAAAACAGATTAATTGGGAAATCGGAAAACTGACAATTTAGCAACGTCAAAATTTGAAAAATTGAAACAGAAATACTGAAGCACTGAAAAATCAAAAAGCCGAGAAATCGAAATTTAAAAAATTAAAAAATCGGATAAGTGAAAAATCGAAACGTGGGGAAATTGAAAAGGCTAAAAGTAAAAAATTGAAAAACCTAGAAATCCGAGAATCGAGAAATCGAAAAATCAGAAGATCGAAAAATCGCGCAGCCGAGAAGAAAAGTTAAAAATTGAAAAATTGATAAATCGAGAAACTGAAACATCGAAACATTCGATAAATGGGGAAATCACAAAATCGAAAAATCGAAAAATTTTAAAAGAGAAAAATTTAAAACATCTGAAAGTTGAAAAATAAAAAAGAATATATATTTTTTTTAAGTAAATGTTTATTGAAAAATCGAAAATCAAAAATTTTAAACATTGAAATATCAAAATACCGTAAAATTGAAAAATAGAGAAATCCAAACATCAAAAAAATAAAAATTCGAAAATCTAAAATTTGAAAATCTAAAAACTGAAAAATCAACAAATCTAGAAAAAATTGAAAAATTGAAAAATCAGATAATTCGAAAATCAAAACATCGAAAAATCGAAAAATTGAGAAACCGAAATAAGCCAAAATCGAAAAATCCAAAAGTTAGAAAATGGAAAAATTCATAAATCGAGAGATAGGACAATCAAAACATCGAAACATTCGAATCTCGATAAATCGAGATCTCAAAAAATTGAAAGATCGAAAATTTAAAACTTTGGAAAATTGAAAAATTAAAATATAGGAGTAGAAGAACTGAAAACTCTAGAGTTCGAAAAATGTAGAATTTTAAAAATTGAGCAATTAAAATATTGGAAAGTTGAAAAATTGAGAAATCGAAGTATAAAACAAACAAAATCTAAAGTTTAAAAACGAAAAACTGAAAATCTAGAAAATAAAAAATCGAAAAATCCAGAAGTCGAAAAATCGAAATATTGAGAAATTAAAAAACTGGAAAATTGGGAAATCGAAAAACCAAAAAAACAACGTCGAAAAAACGAAAAATCGATGAATTAAAGAACTGAAAAATCGAAACTTAGACACATCGAGAAATCGAAAAATCGAGGAGTGGAAAGCCGAGAAGACAAGTTAAAAATTGAAAAATTGATAAATCGGGAAATTAAATAATCCAAAGATCTGAAAAATTTGAAAAATCCAAAGTTTAACGAAAAACTGCAAATCCAAAACTTAAAAAAATCGAGAATCGAAAAATCCAAGAGTCCAAAAGTCGAAAAATCGAAATATTGAAAAATCCCAAAAGTGGAAGAAATATCCAAAAAACTGAGAAATTAAAAAACTGGAAAATTGAGAAATCGAAAAACTAAAAAAGCAAAGTCGAAAAATCGTAGGCTTAAAAAATCGAAAAATCAGAAACCTGAAAAATCGAAAGACTGAAAAATTGAAAAATCAAAACTTTGGGGAGTCGAGAAACGGGAAAATAAAAAAAAAGATTACTTCAGAAATCGGAAACCTGAAAATTTAGAAACGTCAAAATTTGAAAATTTGAAAAATCGAAATAATTAAAAATCATAAAATTGAGAAATCGAAAAATAAAAAATTGTAAGAATTGAAAAGCCCAAAATTGAAATTGCAATATTTCAATGGAAAAACGTCGAAAATTGAAAAATCTAAAGTTTATCGAAAAATTGAAATTCCAAAAAGTTAAATATCGCGAAATCAACAAATCGAAAAATGTTTCGATTTTTGAATTATCCGGTTTTCCAATTTTCCAATTTTTTCGAGTTTCGATTTCCCGATTGCTGATTTTTAAGTTTTTCGATTTTAAAATTTTAGATTTTCGAATTTTAATTTTTCAATGTTTTAAATTTTACATTTTTCGATTGTTCGTTTTTCAGTTTTTGAATATTTTTAATTTTTCAAATTTTGACATTTCTGTATTTTCAGTTTTCTGATTTCTCAGTTAATATATTTTTTTTAATTTCAGTTTCGATTTTTCAGTTTTGGCATTTTTTAGTATTTCGATATTTCGATTCTTTAAATTCTGTTTTTCGATTTCTTGACTTTTTACTTTTTGGATTTTCAATTTTCATTTTTAAAACTTTGGATTTTTCAATATTTTCACTGTTTTGTACTTCGATTTTTTAATTTTTCAACTTTTCGATATTTTAACTTTTTAATTTTAAAAATTATTTCTTGAGTTTTCAGTTCTTCTATATTTTAATTTTTCAATTATCGGAATTTTTAAATTTTCAATTTTCCAATTTATTTTTTAATTTTTTGATTTTCCAATTTTTCGATCTTTCGAAATATAAATAGGCCAAAATCGAAAAATCCAGAAGTCGAAAAATTAAAAAGTCAAAGAATCCAAGTACTGAAAAATTCCAAAATTGTAAGAAATATTAAAGAATTTAGAAATTAAAGAATTGGAAAATTGTGAAATCGAAAAACCAAAAAATAAAGTCGAAAAACCGAAAAATCCAAGAATTAAAGAACTGAAAAATCGAAACTTTGAGAAGCCGAGAAATGGGAAAATCAGAAACTGATTAATCGAGAAATCGGAAAACTGACAATTTAGCAACGTCAAAATTTGAAAAATTGAAACAGAAATACTGAAGAACTGAAAAATCAAAAAGTCGAGAAATCGAAACTACAGAATTTAAAAAATTAAAAAAAAATTTAAAAGAGAAAAATCAGAAAATCGAAAATTTAAAACATCTAAAAGTTAAAAATTGAGGAATCGAAGTAGGTAAAACAGTCGAAAATTGAAAAATTTAAAGTTTATCGAAAAATTGAAATTCCAAAAAGTAAAAATTCGCGAAATAAACAAAACGAAAAATTGAAGAAGTGAAAAATCGAAACTTTGGGAAGTCTAGAAATGGGAAAATCAAAAAATAGATTAATGGAGAAATCGCAAAACTCAAAATTCAGGAACATGAAAATTTTTAAAATTAAGAAATATTGAACTGAAAAATCGAAAATCAAAAATTTTAAACATTAAAATATCAAAATACCGTAAAATTGAAAAATAGAGAAATCCAGACATTAAAAAATCAAAAAAATAAAAATTCGAAAATCTAAAATTTGAATATCGAAAAACTAAAAAATCAACAAATCCAGAAAAAAAAAATGGAAAATTGAAAAATCGGATAATCCAAAAATCGAAACATCGAAAAATTCAAAAATTGAGACATCGTGAAATCGAGGAGTGGAAAAGTCGATAAGTAAACCGAAGTAGGCCAAAATCGAAAAATCTAAAAGTTAGAAAATGGAAAAATTCATAAATCGAGAGATCGAACAATCAAAACATCGAAACATCCGAATCTCGATAAATTGAGATCTCAAAAAATTGAAAAATCGAAAATATTAAACTTTGAAAAATTGAAAAATTAAA